ATGGCCTGGCATGGTGGCTCACGCCTGTAATTCCAACACTTTGGGAGGCCGAGGCGGGCAGATCACGAGGTCAGGCATTTGAGACCAGCCTGACCAACATGTGAAACCCGGTCTTTACTAAAAATACAAAAATTAGCCAGGCATGGTGGCATGTGCCTGAAATCCCAACTACTCAGGAGGCTGAGGCAGGAGAATCGCTTGAATCCAGATAGTGCCACTGTACTTCAGCCTAGGAAACAGAGCGAGACTCTGCCTCAAAAAAACAAAGTTATAACAGAAACCACCCTCCTTTCTTCCTATTCCATGTACTGTAAAACGAAATGATGCACATCCACACCAGTGGTTCTCCAACCTGAACAGGCGTAAGAATCACCTGGAAGGCTTGCGAAGCCACAGACTGTGGGACCTACCTCCAGAAACTGACTCAGTGAAGAATCAGAATTTGGAGCTTTTAGAATTTACATTTTAAACCAACCTTGTGTGAAGAAAATTGAAATGAAGATAATAGGTGTTTGGAGAAGAGCTTTCTAAACATTAATCCTGCAACACACCAATGACCACTTAAATCAATTTACTTCTTAGAATATGTACCTTGTAGCTTTTAGTTCTGGCCTTGATTTTTAATACATACACAGGCATTAGAGTAGGAAAAAGAAAAGAAACACATATTTTGTGATTAGGCCTACCTCATGTTATAGAATAACTTATTCATTAAGAAAACAAGAATTATGTAATAACCAACCTCTTGGGTTTTAAATTTGGAGAACTCTTAAAAAGAAAATCAGATTACCATTCTACCAGAGTCAAGAATTTTACTTAAAATAAATTTATGTTCTGTAGGAGAACCAAAGAAATAGCATTTTTTATATACTTTGTATTCGTCACCACAGGAGAAAAGCAACTCAAAATGCTAAGTAATACGTATACCAGGACACGATTTTCAGACAACTAAAGGTATTAGTTCACTGAACTATTTCACTCACAAAACATGATTTTGCATCGAATTCTTTTAAACCATAAATAGTAAATACATCCGACAAAAAGAATATGTTTCCATGGGACTGTTTGTCAAAATTTTCATTATGTCCTGAGAGGAAAAAAAAAAAAAATCACTCACAGAGAAGATGTGACTCATTTACACTTTAATCTTTTTTTTTTGAGAGAGAGTCTTGCTCTGTTGCCCAGGCTGGAGTGCAGTGGTGTGATCCCGCTCACTGCAACCTCTGCCACTGGGTTCAAACAATTCTTGTGCCTCAACCTTCCCAGTAGCTAGGATTATAGGCACACAGCACCACGCCCAGCTAATTTTTTGCATTTTTAGTAGAGATGGGGTTTCACCATGTTGGCAAGGCTGCTCTTGAACTCCTGACCTCAAGTGATCCTCTCATTCCAGCTTCTCAAAGTGCTGGGATTATAGATGTAAGCCCCTGTGCCCAGCCAAGAAGTCTATTTTTGAGGGCAAGATGATTTGATCATCACCCTGGGAACACCAGCAGTTGTAGGGAGGGTGACAGAGAGAGGCAGAGAGACCAGTGGAGTGTCAGGGCCCTACAGGGGCTACCAGCGCACAGAGAGCGCCCTCCACCAGGAGAAACTGCACGCAGCAGCTACTTGTCAGCTGGGTGAGGAAGGGGAAAGGTATTCCAGCCAAGCATGTGGTCAAAGCACCAAGGCCATGACAAAAATGGTATTCTTAGGAAACAGCAAGAAATTCAACATAATTAGACTGTGCAATGGATGTGAGGGCCTCGCCGTAGAGAGGAGGCTGCAGGGACACAAAGAAGGCCAGTGACAAAGGGTTCTTGGAGCCAAGCTCAAGCTGGGAACTTCATCTTAAAGGTGAGGTGCATGGGCTGGGCGCAGTGGCTCACGCCTGTAATCCCAGCTACTCAGGAGGCTGAGGCAGGAGAGAAGCGAAGGCTGCAGTGAGCTGAGATTGCACTGCTGCATTCCTGCCTGGGCAACAGAGCAAGATTCTGTCTCTAAAGAAATAAACAAAGATGAGGTGCAGCCACTTTATTATTTGAGGCTTGCAGGCAGCACAGTCAGGTTTACAACGTACTGATCTCTCTGGCAGCAGTCCCAAGGAAGAGCAGAAGGGTGAGGGGTGGACTCAGGGTCCAGAGGCTACTGTAGGGAGGAGTGGTCTAGGGCTGAGCCACCAAGGCTAGAGAAGGGCAAAGTGAGAGCCCATCCAGGAGACATCTCTGCCAGCTCCCATCTGGGCACCAGCAAGACTGAGGGGTGAGGAGGGAAGGCTGACAGGGAGGCCTGGGTTTCTGCTCTGAGGGTAAGGTACCTGCAGGGCCACACATCAAAAGCAGCAGCTCAGGGGAAAGGGAGAGCTTCGGAGTGGCATTTTATTGGTTTGGTTTTTACTGGGGTGGGTGGGTGAGTGTGGGTGCGTGTCTGTTTCTGTTGGGGTGTGCGTTTTTGGCGCAGGCAGGAGTATTTCAGAGGCATTAAATCTGCCTGGGACAGTGAGATGGAGCTGTCTAGCAGGCAGCTGGCTCAGAGTTTGGAAGCTCCTGGGGGGCATCTAGGCTGAGGATAAAGGTTTGATATCTTTATTAAGTGAAAGGTGAAGCCATAGGTTTAAATGAGGCTGCCCAGGAAGACAGTCAGATAGCTATGCCTAAAATAGCATTAGCTACTCAGTAAAACACCTATTATTGCCAGAAAATGCGAAGTATACAGCTAGGGGTCACCAAACAGCAAAACCAGAGGAAAGGAACAAACGGCCCATCTGCACCTTAATAAGGCAAGGAAGAATGAAAAAGTCCAGATCAGAAGGGGAGCCTGGACCCCTAAGAGGAAAAGAAGTAAGCAGGCAGCCATCTATTCAAATACACGTGACATTTACAATTGAACGCTCATCACTAACTCGGATACTCCTCTGACACACATGGCAGTACACATCGCTGAAAAACAGTACAGATTTCTGAATGGAAAATCGATCCAGTACATATAAAGATACATATGACAATTATTTTATATAGTGATACATAATTACAAAGAGACACTTCTCTTAAGAAAAAAAAAAAAGGTGGGGGGACCAGCAGAGTCCTCCCTCGTTACCTATAAGGGACTGGTTCCAGGATGTCCCTCCAATCCTCAAATCTGTAGATTTTCAAGTCCTTGATATAAAAATGGAGTAGCATTTTATATTTGACACACCCTCTCATGTACACAGACACACCTCTTAGATACATCTAGAGCCTTGCTCTGTCACACAGGCCAGTGGCAGGACCACAGCTCACTGTAGCCCCAAACTCGTAGGCTCAAGCCATCCTCCTGCTCAGTCTCCTGAGCAGCTGAGACTACAGGCATGCACCACCACACCCAGCTATTTTTTTTAGTTTTTCATAGAGATAGGGTCTCACTATGTTGCCCAAGCTAGTCTCAACCTACAGGCCTCAAGGGATTCTCCCGCCTTGGCCTCCCAAAGCACTGGCATTACAGACGTGAGCTACCACACCCAGCCCTCCCATATGCTTTAAATTCTCTCTAGATTATTCATAATACCAAATACAACGTAAATGTTATATAAACAGCTGTTACATGTGTTTTATTCATATATTTCATTATCGTATTACTTTCGTTGTTCTTCCTGAACATTTCAGATGAACGGTTGGTTTTATCTGTGGGTGCAGAATACGAGGGTGCAGAGGGCTGCTGTTCTCTTGACATCAAATTGTACCTTTCAAGAGAATTATGGTGCAGTTCATGCTCCTTGTTACAACATGCAAAATAATTCCACTAGAACTACACAAAAGTGTCTGCCTCACTAGCATACAGGTCAAAAGTCAAGAGAGATGAATTAATTATAACATCTGCCAACCAAAACCCTCTCTATAGTGAACTTCTCTGGGGAAGCTTCCCCAGGCAGCCCAAGAGCCCTATCCAGAGCTCTAACAAAAGAGACAACAGAAAAGAACAAGGACGGACTGACCAGCACAACCGGACACCTTGGACACGAACACCACCCGCCTCCTCAGCCCTCGGCCAAACTGCTACCAGGCACCTGCTTCGAGTAACACATAGAAACGCTGTCAATAAATTAATCCCTCTCACCTGCTTTCAGTACTAAATAGAAGGACTCATTCAGTGGGCTAAAAAGTAACTATAAAAATAAATAAATAAGGAGTAACCATTAAAAGAATGACCCAATTTAATTTGGGAAAAAAATATTTTGCATCTTATTTGCAACTCAAAATTACATAGAATAATCCTAGGAAGAAAGGGGGAGCGGCTGGTTTTAACCATTAGTTTCCATCTCTACCAGCAGATGTTTAAACAGAACTGCCAGCCAGGTGTGGTGGCTCACACTTGTAATCCCAGCACTTTGGGAGGCTGAGGCAGGTGGATCACTTGAGGTCAGGAGTTTGAGACTAGCCTGGCCAACAGGGTGAAACCCCGTCTGTATTAAAAATACAAAACTTAGCCAAGCATGCTGGTGCTAGCCTGTAGTCCCAGCTACTGGGAGGCTAAGACAGGAGAATCAATGGAACCAGAGAGGCGGAAGCTGTAGTGAGCCAAGATTGCGCTACTGCACTCCAGCCTGGGCGAAAAAAAGTGAAACTCTGCCTCAAAAAATAATAATTATAATTTAAAAATAAACAGAACTGCTAAAGGGTGGCTAAATGGATTGCATTTAGGTCTGCACCTTCTCCTTGTGCCCATTTGCTGTAAGGAACAATGAAATCAGCAAAGGTTAAGGTAACTGAACAGGACAAATGACCCAGTTTCTCTAACAAATCAATGGCATGAAAGGAAACAAAAGAAGAGGAAGAGTGTTAGAGAACAAAGGAGACCTGGGAGACATAATAACCAAATACAAATAGCTTTATTTGAAGCAGGACCCAAGCAGCTTATGAAAGACATTTTTCAGACCAGTGAGAAGATATGAACATGCACTCTGGATTAGAGGATATCAGGAATTATTAATATTCTGTTAAGTGTGACAGTAACACGGTGATTGTGTTTAAAGAGGAAACAGGCTCTTTGCACAGTGGCACTATCACAGCCAATGAGGTTTACCTGAGGCATGATGATTGCTAAATAAATATTTCCCAATGCCACGTGCAATAGAGTTGGCATTGGTCATTTCTTTCTTTTTTTTTTTTTTTTTTTTGAGACAAAGTCTTGCTCTGTCACCCATGCTGGAGCACAGCAGCACGCAATCTCAGCTCACTGCAACCTTCCCCCTTTCTGGGTTCAAGAAATTCTCCTGCCTCAGCCTCCCAAGTAGCTGGGATTACAGGTGCCTGCCACCACGCCCGGCTAATTTTTGTATTTTTAGTAGAGATAGGTTTCACCATGCTGGCCAGGGTGGTCTCAAACTCCTGACCTCAAGTGATCCACCGCCTCAGCCTCCCAAAGTACTGGGATTATAGGCGTGAGTCACTGTGCCCAGCCAGCACTGGCCATTTCTGACAGTCTCTATGGCGACTGAATATCTTGCTTTTAAAAAAAGAAGTCCACCTTAGTAATCTTAAGCAAGAAGAATATAATTTTACATTTAAAAAAATAAAAATTAGCTGGCATGGTGGTGTGAGCCTGTAGTCCTAGCTACTCAGCAGGCTGAGGCAGGACTCTTTGGGCCCAGGAGTTCAGGGCTGCAGTGAACTATAAGCGTGCCACTGCACTCCAGCCTAGGAGACAAAGCAAGAACTTGTCTCAAAAAAATAAAAATAATAAAAGCAAAAGCTTAGAGATGGATGCTGAAGTATTTGTCAACAAATTAACAAAATACCTGAAATCTGCTTTAATACACCAGGAAAGAAAAAAGTAGGGAGAACTGATAAAAATATTGGCAAGATTTCTTTTCTTTTCTTTCTTTTTTTTTTTTTTTTAAAGAAACAAGGTCTCACCATGTTGCCCAGGTTGGTCTCAAACTCCTGGCCTCAAGCCATCCTCCTACCTTGGCCTCCCAAAGTGCTGGGATGACATGAATGAGCCACTGTGCCAGACCCAGTAAGATGCTGATAACACTGAAAGTAGGTGATGAGTAAATGGCATTTATTAGGATTCTCTCTAATTGTGTATGCTTGAACTTTTCCATAATACAAAGTTTTGGGGTTGCTTGTTTTTACAAAACTAGGTGAATCAGAGAGCCAAGAAGCTGAATCTGATCCCATTTTATTTCTCCTTGAAATATTTTCCTATGGCACCACAGTGCCTTCACTCTAGCACATTAAAAACACTTGGATACAGCTCAGGAAAAGCACCGGAAAAAAATCAATTGGAATGCATATGCTGAGGGAGGAAGTACAAGGGAAAAGGTCTGGCTCTGTACAAACTAGCATGTAAGGAAAGCTCACGCTAACTGTCCATTTTCAAAACCAAGGAAATCTAATTACACCCGGCTTTGATTAACTGCCATAGAACTCACATGATGGCATTCACAACTTTACAAATGAGAACAGCACTCTCTCCCACTAATTGACCAGGTCCCTTTAAATATCATCAGAGAAACTGGAACATTTCCCTCCATGTCCAGACTCGAACAAAGTTGGGTTTTAAGTCAGCTACCCGCAAAAGTAGACTGCTTATTCATTTGGGTAAAAACAAATTCTACCGCACATTAGGCTGCTGGAAGATCTAATACCTTGATTAATGAAAAAGATGTATTTTAATATCACACCTAACCATCAGAAACTAAAAAACCAGAATCAGAAATACAAAAAGGTCCAAGGAATGAAATCTAGGATGAGAGAAAGATGTGCTCTGAGCCGATGAACGATGGACTGAAAATATTTCCTAATCACGAAAACAATGCTGAAAATCTGATGTGCACAGGATCTCAGTCAGAGGAAGAAACAAAGTTAGAGAAAAGGGGACAGGCGGCTCAGAGAATATTCAGGCAAGGGACGGGTGGGTGGATGGACGCTTTCTGATGGCGGCTAGCTCCCACAAGGACGGAGGAAGGGCAAAGCAGGACCTGTGCTCCTGCCCAACCAACCAGAGGAGCAATATGGGCGCAGCTGCACCTCAGAAAGTATTCTCCCTCAGCGATGTCGGACTCCAGGAAGGCCCGCCCCCACTTAGGAAGAGCAGGATCTTCTCACCCTGAAGTAAGGTACATGAGTCTTGAGTCCATCCTGGGATCCCTCACATCTCCCTGTTTTGTATATGAAATTGGAACGGATGAAATAGTTTAATATAAATGCCTATTTGGATCCAACAGAGACACATTCATAGTGACTTACTGACATATAAACTGGTTCAGTTTCCCTGGAATTTGGAGGTGGGGAAGGGCAGGGTATCTGGAAGGGAGAGGGGGAGGCTGTGGTGCCACCAGGTCCCCCTTGCTCCTATCATTCCTGCTGTCTGTTTCACTCCAGCATTCCTCACAGCAGTGTTACACTAGTCACCGGCCTCGTAGGTTACAGAGCTGGTCTGTGGCAGGCACGGGTTGGTACCTGGCCTCAAAGCAAATCTTTCTCTTCCTTCCTCTAGTCTTAGTGGGAAGACACGAGACACCTGAGAGGAAGGGGGAAAAAAACCCAAATGCCAGAGTACAAAACAAAATAAAGCAAAGGGATCAGGAGAGCGAAACAAATTCTGCTGCACTGGGGCCATTTAATCAACTACAGTTACTTCAAGTGCACTGCCTGCGGGTCAGCCCTGCTCCACGAGGAAGGGTGTTCAAAAACAAAAACAAAACCTATACACTGGTAAACAGGTTTCTGGTTATTCAGGCTGGAAAAGCACACCACTTAAACTGCCATGACAGTGTTTGCCAACAAGGTTTTGCAAAATTTATGAAAATATTTTTTAAAAAACACAAATTAGCCAACTTTATCACAAAAGGGCTTTGTTTCCAGGTGAGGCACTGGTTAATTGAAAGATCACAGTGTGTTACTTCTGTTCTACGTAGAAAACACAAATCCCTTGTCTGAAAACAGGATCAGAGATGCATTTTATTTACTTATGTATTTCTGAGACAGGGTCTTGCTCTGCAACCCAGGCTGGAGTACAGTGTGGTGTGATCATAGCTCACAGCAGTCGTGAACTCCTGGGCTCAAAGGATCCTCTCTCTTCAGCCTCCTGAGTAGCTGGGACTACAGGCACACACCACCACAACAGGGTTATTTATTAATTTATTTTTTTGTAGAGACAGGAGCTTGCTATGTTGCCCAAGTTGGTCTCAAACTCCTAACCTGAAGAAATCCTCCCACCTCACTCTCCCACGTTCCCAAGTAACTGCACTACAGACAGGCACCATCATGCCCTAGAGATACATTTTAGATGTGAATTTCCACCATTCCCCAGGTCCTCATCCTCTCGGCAGTGTGAACAAGTCACACACATCTATCTGCATGCCCACAGACTATGCACTGGCACTTGGGAAAACAAGAGAAATAAGTCAAGGTCACCGCCCTGGAAGGACACACAGTTGGAGAGCAACACTCAAGAGCCTTTGTGAATAAAGAAAACTCCCGTTCAGTGTAGTACCAACTACAATGTCAAGAATGTGTCCCGGGGAAGGGAGAGAAACATGAATGGCATCTTCAGAGGCATCAGGGAGCGGGAAGGACAAGATGTGTTAGATCCGGAGAGACAGATGGGGAAAGGCAAGCATCTGAGACAAAGAAGTATGAAAAGAAAAAAGAAAAGAGGGGCAGGAAATGGCACTGTGTGTTCCAGGCCAGCGGGAACAGGAAAGAAACAAACGTTAAAGTTCAGGCTGGGAAGTGTGCATGATTATGAAGTAAGGTTAAACAGGCCAGGCAGGACACAGCCATAAAGGGCCTTGCCGGAAAAAGCACAGAAGCTGTGATGTGCAAGGACAGGTAACAGTAAACCCTTCAACACAGGACAGACACAATGGAAAGTATGTGGCAGGGGAACACAGAGTGACCTAGTGTGCAAAGGAACGAGGGACCCCGGTCTTTCCCTGCAGAGAGAGGGAAGGTGCTGGGACAGACAGGGACAGGACCATGTGCCTTGATTCCTGAGGGCACAGTCTAAAGGGTGTGTCCGCTGAAGGGACAGGGACACTGAAGGGGTTCCCAGAGAACACCAGCACTCCTGGAGCACAGTAAAAATGGGACGAGGAAAAGGAAAGGAGAGAGCAAAGAATGAGGTGGCCACATCTGCTGTGTAATGGAAAGCCTAGACAGAAACGGCACGATAGTGGAGCCTCCTCTATCGTGTGTGCCCGCCAGTCACAATGAGGGCAGCTGTCCTCAGCAGAAGAAAGACTAGAGTCCAAGTCATCGTCTGGCCTGCAGCCATCACCACAGAAATCGGGTCCAGAAGGTGGCCTCTCCAGCTCTTCCCTCTCTCACACAACTCTCCTTAAGGGCTCCAGACCTTGACCTCTCCCAGGCTGCCTTCCTGCACTAGGTGGCCTCCCACCTCTTTCATTTTCCCTTTGAAGCCTTTATTAGGGAGTCATTAACATGGGGAGAGAGTGATCTGCACTTGAAAATATTTAACTTTTAAAGCTTGTGCTTTATGTTAGAAATTTCAAAAAGAAACACTTCGACTCAAACACCCTAGAATCTGTGGGACCTTATCACTATGCCCCCGGGAAACTGTAAATCATTTAAGGCACAATCAGAGTGTCCTTACTGACCCATTTCTCTCCCCAAAAGCCAGGAAGACAGCCCTTTTTGTTAAAATGGATCAAAGTGTACACCTGACGTGACCATTTCACTATATGTAAATTAAAACTCAATTAAAAAAAATCAGTCCCCCACATCTTTGTCAAAACACAGGACGTTTGCAACCACCGCCCCAGAAGATTCCCTGGTGCACCTTCCCTGTCAGGGGAAGGGAAGATCCTTTCATTTGTGTGTGGGCAAAAAGTTCTGTCTTTCTCTTTCATGAAATGTTTCAGGTACACATCCCTGGGTGGGAGAAGAAACACAGTATGAGGGAAGAACACTCAACTCAAGAATCAGATCGCTGCACTACCTGTGTCAGTTTCACCACCTCAGTCTCAGATTCCTTGCCCTCTGAGGGAGGGTTGAGCGAGGTGGTTTCTCCAACTCAAAGCTCTGACATTCTGTTTCTAGGCTGGTAGCTAACAAAAGAACACACCGCAAATGCCTAATGAAAAACCACCACTCAATTTTTGCTTATATAAATACCACTCAAGTGAGTTAATGAGAACTTCAACATGATTTTTTAATGGTACTGACCTCAAAACAAATGGTAAATTTTCATTAAATCAAGTGAAATGCAATTAACACATTTGACCCAACTGTGTACCTACTTATACTAGGCACTTTTTACCTAAACAATTTTCTGGCAATACAAACAAGGACACTAAGTTGAAAGAGTGGCGCTTCTCCCAATCTCTCTTCACAGGACTCACAGAAACCAGGACTCGGACCCACCTCCCTCGACTGTGTGCCGGGCACCTGCCCGCCACCTGCCGGCCACTCCTGACACCATCCTGTGTTCCACTGAGGCACATTTGCTTGCTGACATGCTCACAAATTCATCAGCTACAGTTCTGTTCTCACCTTAACTGTAAATATACCTTTTTCCTCACTCTGAATGATGAACTGTAAAGGGCATTTTCAGGTTAACTCATTATACTACTGGTTTTCCTCAGTAAGAAAAAATAAAGCAAATATTGAGGATTTTACACTATACAATTACAGTAAGAAATGGGGGCAAAGGACACCACACAAAAATCACTCTACTTTTGGAAGGAAAAAGGTAACATATTTCATTTTCAGATTTAAAAATGTTTTCTTTATACTACAGGGTGGCAAAATATACATGTATGTGTGTGCATCTGTGTGTATATTTTCTTTTCTAACAATTCAAAAGAAAATTTCCTGAAGCTGGCGAAGCAAAAAAAAAAAAACAACTTTCTAGCTAGTAAGTTTTAAATCATAAAAAAGAAAAATAAAAGAGAAGAGAGAAAGAAACAGAAGGGAAATTAACCACTATCTCAATAGTTTTAAAATGGTTTAATTGTAAAAACTTGGTGGCAACTCAGAATTTGAATTTCAAGTTCTTCTGAAAAGTCCTGCAGAAACTGGCAAGGCAAACGTCACAATTTTGAAAATAATGAAGAGAAATAAGGAAGTCTGAACGTTAAACAATCCAAGCACCCCTTTATTAATCTAACATTTGGCAAAGAAACCAGCCTTTTACCTCAAACTATCAGGGTTGCATTAAGCTTTTTAAGTCACACTCAGTGTTCTGGAAAACATCCACCCCCCTCACCCTCTGCCCTGTCTCCACCTGGGCCCCGTGGGCAGCCACTCTGCTTCCCCAGCACTGCCCAGGCCCACCACCCCCACCACCTTCTCCCCAGCCCCACCAGCCCAGCTCACTCAACAAGGGTCAGGCCTCCCACCCAAGGCAGACAATCCACAGGCTAGCCAATATCCTCAAACCCAGGGCCAGGGCAGCGGTGAGGTGGGAATGAACGAGATCAAGCTTCTCGAAAGGAAATGTGACAGGAATTGGTCACCGAGAAACTGAAAGAATGCAACAAGAAATGCCACAGAGTTGAAGGGGAGCCAGACGGCAAGTCCTTGGGGTGAAGCCACAGGGAAGGGAAACCAGGAGTGAGTAAAGCAGCCAGCTGGTGTGGGGGAGAAGGCTCCAGCACATGGAGCCAGGCACTGACCCACCAGGCAAAATCCTAGAGAAAGCTGTGGCTGAGGCCCCCAGAGCAGCCAGAACCTCCCTCCACCACCAGGCTCTGGAGTTCAGCCCACCCCGGCTCAAATTCCCAGATTCCTGTGCAATTCCTATCACACTGTACATGTTCCCACTCACGAAATTCCTTCACAAGCTGGCTGGAGCGGGTCTTTGCCCCATACAACCAAAAACCAAAACAGCACAGATAACATACGATGGCAAACATGGTAAGTCAACAACATAACATACTGACAGCCCTAGTTACACATATTTCTTTTTTTCTTTTTTTTTTAAACAGCCATAACAGGGAATGAACCTAGTTACACATATTTAAAAGAAATACAGAACTTCTTACCCACACACAAACCAAAACCTCACACCTGACAGAGAAGGCACACCAGGTGACCTTTGGGGGGATGGATGCAAATGTCCTGCGTTTTGAGAAAGGTGTGGGGGATTCTTTCATTAAAAGTGATCAAACTGTACACCTGACATGTGACCATTTCACTGTACTTCAATTATAAAAATGGGATCAGGTGCAGTGGCTCAAATCTGTAATCCCAGCACTTTGGGAGGCCGAGGCGGGTGGATCACGAGATCAAGAGATCGAGACCATCCTGGTCAACAAGGTGAAACCCCGTCTCTACTAAAAATACAAAAAATTAGCTGGGCATGGTGGCGTGCGCCTGTAGTCCCAGCTACTAGGGAGGCTGAGGCAGGAGAATTGCTTGAACCCAGGAGGCGGAGGTTGCACTCCAGTCTGGGTAACAACAGCGAAACTCCATCTCAAAAAAAAAAAGAAAGACAACTTTTTGTTTTTCAAAACTATTGATCTAGATAAATCCCACAAACATAAGCTGACCAGAAGCAGCCAGCTGCTAGAACACTTGCATTTCTATTTAAGGAAAGAACAGAAACAGGTAACAGTCCCCTGTGTGTTCTGAGTCAAAGAGTGGCTCACTTGAATGAGGGTGGACTTCTTCCTGGGCTGCTTATGCTCCAGCTCCTGACCGTGGTGCCAGTATTCCAGGTGTGTCCAGTCTGACAAACGTGTTTTCAGCAGGTATATGCTCATGAAAGACACATTCTCCTGTCTGTATTCTATTTTCTGGTATGTATATCTTAATAATAACACAAAAGAGAAGGAATACCCTACATTTCCAGTTAAAAATGACTGGAAAAGGTTTGCTTTTCATCTAGCAAAATGCTTATTTTCAGCCAAATTCTTCAGGTAAATAACAAAGAAAATTAAGACTTTACCCCATGTGTGAAATTCTAACTCAACTGATGGATTTGATACTGGGGGAAAAACTCATTCAACAGAGTCATTTGAATCATGTAAGTAAAACTCCAACCCACTGTGCTCAGTTCCAACAGTACCTAAAGTAAAGTCACCCACAAGCAGAGCACTCCTTCCACATGAGCAGCAGAGACCACACGCCACGTCCCTTTGCTACTCTAACAAAGGAAAAAACAGAGCATAATCCCGAGGAAGAAATGCTGAGTGGGAATCCCACTCCCATGTGTTCAAAGGGAGGATTAACTCCAATTTACACATTACCCTGAGGTGCATTTTTCTTAATTCGCAGATTTTTATTTTCGGAGGCTTATGTTTTAAAAACCATTTTACAGACTCTAGACACAGTTCATAAGCATAAAAAGAGAATAAGTAAAAGTGATGCCATGGAGACAAACCGTAAATGTTAAATTTATAGATCATCAAATTCTAACACTGTTCTTTAAAAATAAGAAGCCAAAGAATAAACTGAAATGTCAAGTACTTACAGCCATAATTAATTCAAAGGGGTATTTGTACACCCTCACTGGTGACTGGTATTTTTGCACCATGATTGTAATGTAATAGCAATCCTCTCACACCTGCAAAACATAAATATATGTGATAAATAACCACAATACGGAAACAAATTATTAATAAGTCTGCACCAACACATCATACCAGATTCTAACGACAGAAAGAGACAATAGGTCATAATTCTATGCACACAAAAATGAAAAGATGATATTTAAATACACAAGGGCAAAGGGAGGTAATCAGACAATAAAAACTGGACAAAGCCCCAATGCAATGAGAGAAACAGTACTGGTGTGAGAGGGACTCCAGTCCCCTCATGGGAATTGCTGGGCCTCTGCATTCATTACATGACCTGACCTGAGTTCTTTCCGGCAATGAACTGTTACGATTCTGTTATTCTAATAACCAATATAATTAGTGCTCAAATCATTGTCTCTTGAACTTCTATTAGAAGCCAAATAAAAATGATCTCACGTTAAGCTATTAGCTCTGGGGAAACAAAAGCGGAAAAATATACTACTGTATCTCAAATTATGGACTACTCCTCAAAAGCTAGCTTCAAAGGAAACATGTCAATTCCTATTTCCTAACTGTGTACACTACAGCTTCGGAGACCTGTCTTCAAGCGGCAGAGGTGCCGGATATTCTGGCTTAAGAGGCTCCACTGAGATCTCCAGCCTCAAACAGCTGCTATCTGTAAGTCATCGGTTAAATGTTCACACCTAATTCACACTCAAGGAGCCCCCGCTTAGGTGTGCATAAATAATCATTCTCTAGCGGCCAGCCTACAAAGATTGCTCTGAAAACACACTTGGACTTGCCAGTCCTCTGGGACTGTCCTCCCCTACTTAAAAGTGAGAAAAAAAATCAAATGAGCCTACCTGTCTTGCCGAGGATAATCATTAAGAATGATATTTTATGCTGAACATGGCGAGAGGATATACAAACGTACAAACTGAATATCCTCAAGGTGCCCAAAGTCTAGCTGTTAAAAAAAAAAAAAAAGACAAATTACCAAGATATATTTTATTTCAGAAACTTCCAAGATTCCGATCTTTTTTTTTTTTTTTTTTTTTTGAGACAGGGTCTTTCTCTGATGTCCAAGCTGGAGCACAGTGGCACAATCTCTGCTCACTGCAGCCTCTACCTCCTGGGCTCAAACGATCCTCCAGCCTCAGCCTCCCAAGTAGCTGGGACCACAGGCACGCACCACCATGCATATTCTTTGTAGAGGGTTTTCCCGTGTTGCCCAGGCTGCTCTCAAGGGATCTGCCCATTTCAGCCTCCCAAAGTGCTGGGATTATAGTCATGAGCCACTGTGCCACATCTAAAATTTCTGTCTAGGTTTGGAACTTTGGTATGTCTGGCATACCTCTCAGGAGCAGGTCATGGTGGAAAACACCACCATTTGACAGTGTGAAAACGGCTACAGAATAACTCTGGGTGGCCTCGAGTGAGCCATTTGACTTCCCTGGGACTCAGTTTCATCTGTAAAATAAAGTTTTCCGGGAGATGATCTTGAAAGACTTTCACCTCTAAACTCGTGAGAATAAGAGCCAAACTCCCATGTTCTCCAAACCCAACTTGAAGCTTTCTAATATTAATCTTGATTATGGGACTGACACAGTCCCTGATGTGCTGGAACATTGTTCCATTTACTTTTGCAAACCTTAGAGTGCTCATTTAAGAAACTGTAAGATCCATTCAGGATTCCACCGCCTGGCAGAACCCAAAGTGGCTACACTCACTGAAGAACCTGCTAATTCACGTGCTTGTGAACTCCAGCCAGGTCCCAGTTGCCAATGCTCTGGTTCAGATAAACGCCCTACGCGGGCATCCGGAGAACGACCAAGTGGCATTCAGGACCCTGGCCGCTTCTACTGCATGACAATCGCTGTTTAAACAGGAGCCAAAGGCCAGACCCACTGAACGCATCCCGAGCAGGCTCGAGCCGCGGCCCGCGCCCGGGGCCGGCAGCTCAGTAGAGGTCCCGCGTGGCTGCTCCCCACGGGGCCCCCAGCCTCGGCCGACGGGAGAGCGGGGCGGGCACTGGCTCCGGACCCGAAACTCCGCTTCCAGCGGCTCCTGGGAGCTGGGAGCCTGGCGGGGTGGGGATGGGGATGGGGGTGGGAGTGGGGGTGGGGGCGGGGGTGGGGGTGAGGATGGGGGCGGGGGCGGCGAGGGGCTAACAGTGGGGCGGGGAGCGAGCAGGGGGGCGGCCCGTTCCGGGCGCCCGGCCGAGGGCAGCCGGGGCCGGGGAGGGACGGGCGCAGCCGGCGGGCGGCCGGGAGTTCCGGGGGGCCAGCCTGGGAGGCGCCGTACTTCGATAAGACCGGGACCTGGATCGGGGCGGGGGCGCACTCGGACCCGCCGCGGCGACGCGCCTACCTCTTGTCAGAAAGGCCGGACCTGGCCCGCAGGGTGGCGAGGGGCGTTCATACCGGCAGCTCCACGGGGCCGTCGCGGTTCGACTGCTTGGCGGCCGCAGCTCCACCGCCGGTTCCGGGGAGGGGGCCGGGGGGGCGGGAGGGAGGAGGGGCGCGGCGAGGGCTCCAGTGGTTGTTACGGGTGACGGAGTGGGCGGGGCCGGGCGCCGGGAGGGGCGCGCGTGCGCAGCCGCGGCCTAGGGAGCCGGCGATGGTTGCTAAGGAAGGGGAGGGGGAGGACAATCTGGGCCCAAACTGCGCAGGCGCAAGCTCCAGATCCGCGGGCGTGGGAGGAGCTTGGAGAAGGCGCCGGCCCGGAAGCTCCACTGGTTGTGCCCGAGGTCCTCGTGGCCCCTCCCAGTTCTGCGTCAATGGTTGGGGGGAGGGAACGGGGCGGGGATTCGCGAGTAGCGGGCGGAGGCCGAGTGAGACCGGGGTGCTGGGACGGTGCAGGGGAGGGGTTCCGCTGAGCGGGAAAAGGGAAGTCTGCGGGAAGTCAAAACCACCCCGACCCTCCGGCCGGTCTGCTGCTCTGAGGCCCGCCTCTGGTCGTCCTGGCAGCTGCCCCGGTTCTTCCTCATTTTGGTTGACTCTTCAGGAGCGGCAGCCTCTTCGCGCGCAGTGCTCCGACCGCATTGTCGCCGAGTAATGGGGAAGAGGCGGACCCCGGGTGGAGCCCAGCGGCATCCTTATCTACACATCCAGACGGCTCTAGTTTCGGGCCGAGGGCTCGAACTGAAGACAGGAGCCCGGGGTCTGTCTTACAGAAATGAGGGGGCCTCGGCGGGGCTGCTAACTAGCTCCCGAATTTCAGCAGGAAAGCGCAGTCCAGCTCCAAGTTTCAATCCTAAGTGGGCACCACTGAGACATTTTGGGGTCCTTACGTGGAGCTCATTACTAGAAAGGGGCACCTTGGGTGTCCACCCAGACAGCAAAGCTGGTTTTACAACCAACATGCAATTGCACCGTCCATGTCACTGTTGTTCCATTCACATTAGTCACCCTGGGTGGCTGGACATTTCATGCTGCCCTTGGATGGAACGTTTTTAGACCTGTTGAGGAATTTCCATCAGAGCCAGTTTACCAGACACACAAGCAAATCATTCATGGCCCCATCACCCCTGTGTTCCACCTCAAACCATCATTTTCCAGCTTGGTCACCCATATTATTCACTATACTCAGTCTAACTGGCTTTTTGCCTGTTTGTAGAAATCCCCTCCACCTTCAAAAGAAGCTTTAAGGCCTTTCTGACAAGAGGTAGATTACAGGCTCATGCCCGAAATCCCAGCACTTTGGGAGGCTGAGGCGGGCAGATCACCTGAGGTCAGGAGTTTGAGACCAGCCTGGCCAACATGGAGAAACTTGGTTGCTGCTAAAAATACAAAAATTAGCTGGGTGTGGCGGCAGATGCCTATAATCCCAGCTACTCAAGCGGTTGAGGCAGGAGAATCACTTGAATCTGGGAGGCCGAGGTTGCAGTGAGCCGAGATGGGGCCACTGCACTCCAGCCTGGGCGACAGAGCAAGACTCCGTCTCAAAAAAAAAAAAAAAAATTGGCCTGATCTGTATTTACAGGAAATACAGAATAAAGGAACATACTAAATGGGACCATGAAAAACAGCTGGCAAAGTACAGACTGCAGGAAATACTACAAGACAATTATATTCTCTTTTTTTCTTTTTTCTTTTTTTTTTTTTGAGACGGAGTTTCGCTCTTGTTACCCAGGCTGGAGTGCAATGGCATGATTTCGGCTCACCACAACCCCTCCGCCTCCTGGGTTCAGGCAATTCTCCTGCCTCAGCCTCCTGAGCAGCTGGGATTACAGGCACCCGCCACCATGCCCCGCTAATTTTTGTATTTTTAGTAGAGACGGGGTTTCACCATGTTGACCAGGATGGTCTTGATCTCTTGACCTCGTGATCCACCCACCTCGGCCTCCCAAAGTACTGGGATTACAGGCTTGAGCCACCGCGCCCGGTCCCCCCGCTTTTTTTTTTAAAGATAGAATCTTGCTGTCTCACTGTGTCACCCAGGCTGGAGTGCAATGGCGTGATCTCGGCTAACTGCAAGCTCTGCCTCCTGGGTTCAAGTGATTCTCCTGCCTCAGCCTCCTGAGTAGCTAGCATTACAGGAGTATGCCACCACGCCAGGCTAATTTGTGTTTTTAGTAGAGACGGGATTTCCCCATGTTGATCAGGCTGGTCTCGAACTCCTGACCTTGTGATCTGCCTACCTCAGCCTCCCAAAGTGCTGGGATTACAGGCACGAGCCATGGTTCCTGGCCCGCAGACCTCCTTCTTGCCTGGGGACTGGATTGCCTTTGTAGGACTAATATTGGCCACAAAATTAGAAATTATGGGTTAGGAGTCATGTAGCTGAAGGCAACAAGATTCTGACCCTCCCTCAACTGTTCCTAAGATCAGTGCTTCAGACCCTGCACTTGATGGAGCAGCTGGCACCACTCAGATCGATAAACTGGCCCTTCTGATCTTGTGACCCCCGATCCAGGAACTGACTCAGCACAAGAAGACAGCTTCAGCTCCCTGTGATTTCATTCCTGATCAATCAGCACTCCCGGCACAATGGCTTCCCCCCACCCACCAAGTTGCCCTTAAACACTCTGCTCCCTGAATGTTTGGGAAGACTGGTTTGAGTAATAGTAAAACTCCAGTCTCCTGCACAGCTGGCTCTGTGTGAATTACTCCTTCTCTATTGCAATTCTCCTGTCCTGATGAATCAGCTCTGGTCTAGGAAGCAGATAAGGTGAGCCCTTTGGGTGGTTATACGTCATCCTGATTATTTGTCAAAATGAGCAATCTTTTGTTACAATAAATGCTTTTTCATGAATGTATTGAGGCAAACAGTGAAGCCGTGTATTGGTTGACAGTCTAATACTCCTGAATGAGAATCTCCTGAATCAAATATTAAGTTATGTTGATCTAGAAGGTCTTAGGTCTCTGTCCTGATGCCTAAGCTGTGTGGATGCAGGTGGTCTTATTCCTCATGATCAGAAATGCAGGTAAGCCCTGAGATAGTCTGAACTCAGATCTCTTGCTGCATTGTAATCCCCAGGGTTGGAGGTCCCACCTGTGGGAGGTGTTTGGATCATCAGGGCAGATCCCTCATGAGCGGCTTGGGCCACCTCCTTGGTCATAAGTAACCTCTAATTTCACACAAGATCTGCTCACTTAAAAATAGGTGACACCTCCCCTACTCTCTGGAACCTTCTCCAGCTTTCACCACATGACCCGCCTGTGTCCCCTTCCCTCCTTCCAACAAGACTAATACCTCCCTGAGGCTTCACCAGAAGCTAAGCAGATGCCAGTGCCATGCTTTCTGAACAGCCTGCAGAACCTCTTAAGTACTATTCGAATATATAATGATATTAAGAAATTATTGATTTCTTGTGGCTGGGTGCAGTGGCTCATACCTGTAATCCCAGCTGGGATTTGGGAAGCTGAGGTGGGCAGATTGCCTGAGGTCGGGAGTTCGAGACAGCCTGATCGACATGGAGAAACCCCGTCTTTACTAAAAATACAAAATTAGCTGGGAGTGGTGGCACATGCCTGTAATCCCAGCTACTCAGGAGACTGAGGAAGGACAATTGCTTGAACCCAGGAGGCAGAGGTTGCAGTGAGCCAAGATCGTGTCACTGCACTCCAGCCTGGGCAGCAAGAGCAAATTTCTGTCTCAAAAAAAAAAAAAAAAAAAGAAAGAAATTATTTATTTCTCTTATCTCTTAAAAAGGCCAATTAAACCTCCTTTAGTTATAAATTACCCAGTCTCAAGTATTTCTTTATAGCAATTCGAGAATGGCCTAACACCGGCCCCTTCTGTGTTGCCACATTGCCATTATCACAATATGTCTCCCCCCCAGCCAGCAAGTTGGAGGAAAGGATGAAGAGCAAACCTGCTCCCCTGAAGAACGCTTCCTTGGAAATGATGTGCGTGTACAAACATGTGTGCACACACATGAGCACACATGCATACTTCCCATTGGCCAGAACTTGTCACATGAGCACACCCAAAAGCAAGGAAGGCTGGGAAATGTAGCCTGTGTGCCAAGTGACCACAAACCCAGCTACAAACTGTGAGTTCTGTTGCTATGAAAGAAGCACAGGATGGATATTGGTGGCAACTAACAGTCTCTCTCATTAAGGACATAATCAAACTATTAAAATATAATGGTGATGTGTGTTTGAAAAATTTTGAAAGAAAGAAAAAGAGAAAGAGGAAGGGAAGGAAGGAAGGAAGGAAGGAAGGAAGGAAGGAAGGAAGGAAGGAAGGAAAGGAAGGAAGGAAGGAAGGAAGGAAGGAAGGAAGGAAGGAAGGGAAGGAAGGAAGGGAACGAAGGAAGGAAGGAAGGGAAGGAAGGAAAGGAAGGAAGGAAGGAAGGAAGGAAGGAAGGAAGGAAGGAAGGAAGGAAAGGAAGGAAGGAAGGAAGGAAGGAAGGAAGGGAAGGAAGGAAGGGAAGGAAGGAAGGAAGGGAACGAAGGAAGGAAGGAAGGGAAGGAAGGGAACGAAGGAAGGAAGGAAGGAAGGAAGGAAGGGAAGGAAGGAAGGGAAGGAAGGAAGGGAACAAAAGAAGGGAAGGAAGGGAACGAAGGAAGGAAGGAAGGAAGGGAGGGAGGGAGGGAGGGAGGGAAGGAAGGAAGGAAGGAAGGAAGGAAGGAAGGAAGGAAGGAAGGAAGGGAAGAAGGAAGAAAGAGAAAGATCACAGCACTGCACTCCAGCCTGGATGCCAGAGAGCGGCCATGTCTCCAGAAAAAAAAAAAAAAAGTGTTTGTGTTGCATGCTGTGTTCAAGTGGTGCTGTTCTCTAGGCTAATAGTGTCATCCACAAGCTGAACAGGGTGGAGTCAATGCCGTGCAAGGTAACAAGCAGTGAAGGCAGGTTGGCGGGACTGCAGCACTGCAGCAGGGAAGAGCAGGCTGCTGCCCTTGGCTTAGCAGCACACCTGTTTTTCTCAGACAGGCTCCCTTTAAAGTCGAATTACGAGAGTGGGCACTCTGAAACACCGCGGCAATGCCCCTTGCTTCCAGAGCATTTTTCTTAAAATGGAGTCTTGCTCTGTTGCCCAGCCTGGAGTGCAGTGTCACAATCTCAGTTCACAGCAGCCTCCGCCTTCTGGGTTCCAGTGATTCTCCTGTCTTAGTCTCCCAAGTAGCTGTGATTACAGGCCCTGTCGCCACACCCAGATAATTTTTCTATTTTTAGTAGAGACAGGTTTCTCCATGTTGGCCAGGCTGGTCTTGAATTCTTGACCTCATGATCCACCTGCCTTGGCCTCCCAAAGTGCTGGGATTACAGACGTGAGCCACCATGCCTGCCGTCTTTTTTTTTTTTGAGACAGAGTCTTGCTCTGTCACCCAGGCTGGAATGCAATAGTGCAATCTCTGCTCAGTGCAACCTCCACTTCCTGGGTTGAGGCAATTCTCCTGCATTAGCCTCCCAAGCAGCTGGGATTACAGGCGCCTGACACCATGTCTGGCTAATTTTTGTATTTTTAGTAGAGATGGGGTTTCTCCATGTTGGCCAGGCTGGTCTCAAACTCCTGAACTCAGGTGATCCACCCGCCTTGGCCTCTCAAAGTGCTGGGATTTCAGGTATGAGCCACTGCGCCCAGCCCAGAGCATTTTTATTAGTGAGCTCCACACCGGTCGTCACCTCTCACTTGGTGAATGGAAGCCTCCATGGGTGCCTCGTAAAGGCTTCACTTACCAGGTGCCCTTGGGAAGGCACAATACTGAGATGCAGGATTCCCAAGTCCATAGCAAGACACTGTGGCTTGCTCAGCCAAGCCCCCATTAGGAGCCTGCAACTGAAGCTGCGTTCCACTCAGCTGCCCTGGGCTGACCTCAGGACACAGTATCAGCTGCCTGATCACACTGTATAAGCAGCAGTGGGTGGACAGAGGCTTCACGGCAGGGCACATCTCCCCTGCAGGATTAACCTGGTTCCTCGGGCCATATCTTCTCCTTTGCTCTTAGCACAATATTAACAGTCACTGAAATTTTGTCTTCCAGAGCCCAGGCTCTTTTCCACCATAACAAAAGAAGCATGGGAACTTGTGGCATAAGCAGACTGGAGCCAGGCACCGTGGCTCACGCCTGTCATCCTAGCATTTTGAGGGGGAGGCAGGAGGATCGCTTGAGCCCAGGAGTTCCAGAACAGCCTGGAGAACATAGTGAGACCTTGTCTCTACAAAAAAATAAAAATAAAAATTAGCTGGGTGTAGTGGTACACGCCTGTGGTCCCAGCTGTTCGGGGATCCTCGAGTGGGAGGATCACATGGGCTCAGGAGTTTGAGGCTGCAGTGAGTCATGAATGCACCACTGCACTCCAGCCTGGGCAACATAGTGAGACTCTGTCTGAAAAAAAAGGAGGATTGGGGGTATAGTTTGGGGGAGTGTCACTCCAGGAAAGACAGTGGAAGGCTAGTGACAATCTTAACCAAAATTTCAGCCTCCTTTGCTACTATAGCAAAAGAAACCAGGGATAATGCTGAATAATCCCCTTTAAACACTGCTGAGAGTCAGGGCCAGCTAATTACCTAGGCTGTGCCAAGAGACCCAGTGGCACTTACTTCTTACTTTCTGGTGGCCTTATACATCCTGGCATTTGTGATTCACTTCAGTCAGGTTACAGGGACCTATCAGAGCCCATGCTGGAGAGTTGTGTTTAATGCAGAATTGCCCAGGTGCAATGGCTCACACCTGTAATTCCAGCAATTTGGGAGGCCGAGGCAGGTGGATCACTTGAGGTCAGGAGTTCAAGACCAGCCTGGTCAACATGGTGAAACCCCGTCTCTACTAAAAATACTAATATTAGTCAGGCGTGGTGGTATGCACCTGTAATCCCAGCTACGTGGGAGGCTGAAACAGGAGAATCCCTTGCAACCAGGAGGTGGAGATTCCAGTGAGCCGAGATCACGCCTCTGCATTCCAGCCTGGGCGACAGAGCCAGACTCTGGCTCAAAAAAAAAAAAAAAAAAAAGTATATAGAATAAAGGCCTAAAAAAGGAAGAGACCACTTTGGCATTTGGTGGTAAAGAGTTAAAGACAGACTTGCAAGGCATGACTGATTCTCCTGACATGGGCCATCCGGCAAAGTTTCCAGCCTGGAAAAGTACAGAAAATGTAGGTTACCCTATAGGCACAATTTTCTAATTGAGCCCTGGCAATAATCCAGTGGCCTTTAGCTAACACATTGCATCATTCCCAACCTGGGAAAACTTCAGGCCAAGAAGTCAGGTCTGCAAAAGTTATCATCCAGCCTTCAATAGTTCTAAAATATGTCCTTTCAGTCTGGAGAGGCAAAGTCCCTATAACTCATTGGTTTATCTGCCTGAGAGGCTTGCTTCCTTCAGGACGCCCTTCACACTCCTAGCGGAATTCTCTCTCAAAAACACAAACTCACTCCCTTGTTCAAAAAGTGCATTGATTATCGAATTAAGTTTAAACTTCAAAGCCTCTCAATCAAGATCCTCTATAAATCTTGACCCCAACTTCCCTTTGTCCAGAATGATTTTATATTCATCTCCACTCCATTCATTTATTTATTCATTCTTTTGTGGATTCAACAAACATTTATTCAGCACCTTAATGTACCCCGAACGTAGTGACCACCGGAGTATAGGAAGATCCACTGCAGCCGGGGCGGTGGCTCACACCTGGAATCCCAGCACTTTGGGAGGCTGAGGCGGGTGGATCACCTGAGGTCAGGAGTTTGAGACCAGGCTGGCCAACACGGTGAAAGCCCATCTCTACTAAAAACACAAAAATTAGCCAGGCGTGGTAGCAGGGGCCTGTAATCCCAGCTGCTTGGGAGGTTGAGGCTGGAGAATCACTTGAACATGGGAGGTGGAGTTGCAGTTAGCCGAGATCATGCCATTGCACTCCAGCCTGGGCAACAGAGCAAAATTCTGTCTCAAAAACAAACAAACAAAAAATAAAAATTAGCTTGCCTTGGTAACACGCTTGTCATCTCAGCTACTCAGGAGGCTGAGGCACGAGGATCACTTGAACCTGGTAGGTGGAGGTTGCAGTGAGCCGAGATCATGCCACTGCACTCCAGCCTGGGTGACAGAGAAAAACTCTGTCTCGAAAATAAATAAACAAATAAAAATAAAAACTAATTAATTAGTCAAGTAAAAAACATATCCCCCATCCCATGGACAGAACTAAAGCATCCTCGGGATGATGCTCTCACCACCCCTCCACCCCCCACCGGCACCTTTAGATAGCACTGCCCCTGTGTTACCAGGCAAGCACGTCAAGTCCAGGGAAGCAGCCAGCTTAGGCACCAAGTTCTGCAGCAGGAAGCGTAGCCTGCATCTGATGAGATTTAGGGTGACAAAGGAGCGCCCCAAGCCTTTCAGCTTCCCACTCAGAGAAATAAAAATAGCCAACCCAATCATACTTCTGGCTTGTTTCACAAAATACAGTCCTTGCTTCACCGACGTGGACGCAGCTGCATGGCACTTCCTTTCCTTTGCCGGATCAGGACTTAGGTTTGCAAGTCCAGCAATGAGTCCCCCGGCTGCGCAGCTGCGTGTGGGTCACACAGCTGGAGGGGAGGCGGGGCTTGCTGCCTTTAATTGACCCCCAGGAAGAAATGTAGTGCTAATGGGGATAGACCAGAGCCACTTAACAAGGAGGAACTGAGTGAAGAATAAACAGTGAGGGCTGGGCTGGGTGGCTAACACCTGTAATCCCAGAGCTTTGGGAGGCTCACCTGAGGTCGGGAGCTCGAGACCAGCCTGACCAACATGGAGAAACCCCGTCTCTACTAAAAATACATTGTGGCACATGCCTGTAATCCCAGCTACTCAGAAGGCTGAGGCAGGAGAATCGCTTGAATCCGGGAGGTGGTGGTTGTGGTGAGCCGAGATAGCCATTGCCCTCCAGCATGAGCAACAAGAATGAAACTCCGTCTTAAAAAAAATTTAAAAATAAATAAACAGTTGAGCAGCCTCAATACATTTAGTTAAAGCAATTGTCTTAAGGCTGACTATGGAAAAGAAAACTCTCCTCCACCTTCTTCACCTGCGCACAGAACTGAAGACACACAGGGTGATCAGAGGCCAGAGCTCTCCCACTTCCTCCTTGATGTGGGTTAAAGAAGGACCATTCAGACCCCCAAATCTCCTGTTTCACCACGAGATTCCAACTCAGAGGGATTCAGTTCAGTGCTTTATTTGGGATGCATCCCATCACCAGGCATCCCACAGCTCTGCCCCGGAAGGTTCTGTAGACAGTGTCACCTCCAGCTGAGAACTGCACATGTGCTCACTTCACACTGCTCTGAAAATTCCACCTCTCATCCCTCCCCACGTTGGCAGGGGCTGTGTGTCTGACTGAGCCACCTTAGTAGCCCAAAGCAAGCTTTTAGGGTTTTTCTCCTCCAAAGAAAAAAAAAATTCTTTAATTGGATGTTGATGGAATTTGATGTCAGAAAATCTCACTGGGTTGTTAAGCTTGGAGGAGAAAATGTGATGAAAACACTCAGTAAATGGTTAGGTTCTATGGAAATGCGTCCACTACCAGGCATCCTGCAGCCCTGCCTCCGGAATGTTCTGTACACATAGATTCTTGTGATCGTCCCGCCTACCCCTCTAGTTGGTTGCCAGCAGCGTCATCTATATTTAGATAAATCCTTCCCCATCTTAAATTTCTCCCAACAGAAAAACAATATGAAAAGTGTTCAAAAGACCAATATGAAAATATGATTAAAAGACCAATGCTCATTTGTACGGCTCTTGGCAGAGACAGGCTGAAAGAATACAAAGAATTTTCTTGGCAAACCATCGTCTATAATTATGAGCTACATAAGCTAAATGGACTCCAAGGGGCTGGGGGTGCACGGGGAGATGGTCATCTGGCTTAGCTGGACACAACAGTCTCGGACACCCCTTGACGTTCAGAAAGCTCACTCGACTTTAAAATGTTCAAGTGTGGCCAAGCGCGGTGGTTCACACCTGTAATCTCAGCACCTTGGAAGGCCGAGGCAGGTGGATCACCTGAGGTTGGGAGTTCAAGACCAGTCTGACCAACATGGAGAAACCCTGTCTCTACTAAAAATACAAAATTAGCCAGGCATGGTGGCACGTACCTGTAATCCCAGCTACTCGGGAGGCTGGGGCAGGAGAATTGCTTGAATCCAGGAGGCAGACATTGCAGTGAACCGAGATGGAGCCACCGCACTGCAAGAGCGAAACTCCATCTTAAAAAAATAAAATAAAATGAGGCCGGGTGCGGTGGCTAACGCGTGTAATCTCAGCACTTCAGGAGGCCGAGATGGGTGGATCATGAGGTCAGGCGTTTGAGAACAGCCAACATTAGCTGGGCATGGTGGCACATGCCTGTAGTTCCAGCTACTTGGGAGGCTGAAGCAGGAGAATGGCTTGAACCTGGAAGGCGGAGGTTGCAGTGAGCTGAGATCATGCCACTGCACTCCAGCCTGGTGACAGAGCAAGACTTCATCTCAAAAAAATAAAATAAAATAGACAAGAAAATAAAAAATAAAAATACAAAATTAGCAGAGCCTGGTGGCACACACCTGTAGCCCCAGCTACTCAGGAGGCTGAGGCAGGAGAATCACTTGAACCTGCGAGGTGAATGTTGTAGTGAGCCAAGATCACGCTCCCACATTCTAACCTGGGCAACAGAACAAGACTCTGTCTCAGAAGAAAACATAATAAAAATAAAATAAAATACTCAAGTGTGAATGCATGACTTGTCTTAAAGGGCACTGTGCCTGCCGGCTCTGCACCCCCACCCACCCCTGTGGCCTCTGGCAGGCTCTGTGCTTGTGCTAAGATGTGACCCCAGCTGCCTACAGGACATTAGCGGGTAGCTCCAGTGCACCTCAGAAGGCACAACCACACTGACGCAAAACAAAGAGCCTGGGTGACCTTCCTCCATACCCCTAGAAGTAAACGGTACAACGCTGAACTTTTCACCATACAAGGCTCAGGACGCACCCACGGTTGACGCACTGTTGCAAGAAATTTCCATGAACTGGGTGGCTGAGGGCAACAGAAATTCATTTTCTCACTGTTCTGGAAGCCATGTGCTCTGGAGGGGAAATCAAGGTGTTGGCAGAGCCACGCTCCTTTCTGCAGCTCTGGGAAGGTCCTTTCTGGCTTCTTCTGGCTGCTGGTTGCCCTAGGTCTTCCTTTGGCTTGTGGCCACTTCCCGCCAATCTCCACTTCCACCTTCTCCCCTGTGCATCTCCATGTGTTAAATCTCTCTCCTTTCTCTTATGAGGCCACTAGAATGAGATCACCGTGGATTTCCAGTTCATCATAAACCCACGATGAGCTCTCTCAGTTTCCTTAGCTTAATGACATCTGTTAAAACACAATTTTTTGTTTTTTGAGACAGTCTTGCTCTGTTGCCCAGGCTGGAGTGCAGTGGCGAAATCTCGACTCACTGCAACCTCTGCCTCCTGGGTTCAAGTGATTCTCCTGCCTCAGTCTCCCGGGTAGCTGGGACTACAGGTGTGCACCACCATGCCCAGTTAATTTTTGTATTTATAGTAGAGACGGGGTTTCACCATGTTGGCCAGGATGCTCTGGATCTCTTTACCTTGTGATCCGTCCACCTCAGCCTCCCAAAATGCTGGGATTACAGGCGTGAGCCGCCACGCCCGGCTAAAAACACAATTTTACAAATGAAATTGCATTTCCAAGTACCAGAAGTTAGGACTTGGACACATCTTTGGGGAGCTACATTCAACCCTCTACAGCTGGTTAGAAAACAAACTCCTTGGCTGAGTGGGGTGGCTCACTCCTATAATCCCAGCACTCTGAGAGGCAGAGGCAGGCAGATTACCTAAGGTTGGGAGTTAGAGACCAGCCCAGTCCACATGGTGAAACCCCATTTCTACTAAAAATACAAAAATTAGCCAGGTATGGTGGCAGATGCCTGTAATCCCAGCTACTTGGGAGGCTGAGGCAGGAGAATCACTTGGACCTGGGAGGAAGAGGTTGCAGTGAACCGAGATTGCGCCACTGCACTCCAGCCTGGGTGACAGAGTGAGACTTCATTTTAAAAAAAAGAAAAAGGAAAACAAACCCCTTGCAACCATAAAAAGGAAGGAGTTCATGTCCTTTGCAGGGACATGGATGAAGCTAGAAGCCATCATCCTCAGTATACCAACACAGGAACAGAAAACCAATCACCACATGTTCTCACTCACATGTGGGAGTTGAACAATGAGAACATGTGGACACAGGGAGGGGAACATCACACACCAGGGCCTGTTGGTGGTGGGGCGGTGAGGGGAGGGACATCACACACCAGGGCCTATTGGTGGTGGGGGGCGAGGGGAGGGAACTTAGAGGATAGGTCAATAGGTGCCAGCAAACCACCATGACGCAAATATACCTATGTAACGAACCTGCACATTCTGCACATATATCTCATTTGTTTTTGAAGGAGAAGAAATGAAGAGAAAAAAAGGAAAGAAAAGAAACCCCTGTCGGAGGAAGGGAAGCACCCCTGTTCACTCTCCTGCCAGTGGTATCAGCCTTGTCAAGCGCAGAGCAGTTAAAAAGGCACCTGCACCCCACAGGGTCAGCCTCCTGGACCCCGAGGGTGCCCACCCCTGCCTGACTCACCCACTGCTATTGCCTGCAAAGCAGGTGACACTAAGGGAAGGGCAAGGCTGGCCTGCTCATCACGTGGTAGACTCTGAGCTTTGGGAAACCAGAGAACAAAGGATGTTGCTGTCCTTGGCAGGGCTGGCTTGTTCCGAGGTCCCTGTGCACCTGGAGAAGAGCTTGACCTGGCTCACGTGGCACACTCAGGCACACAGAGGGCTTCTTGGGAACCAGCCTCTGAGCAATTCCAGGAGTATGCAAGGAACTGCTATGATGCCGACAGCCTGAGCTTATTCCACACCCAGGGAGATGACGCACAAGGACGTCTGGGTGTTTAACCCCACACATCATTCAGAATTAGGAGCCAGCTCACAGTTCCTGTCTCCCCACAGGATGTCTCAATTCAGGGCCTATTTAATTCAGTTTCAGTTTCCTTGAAGAACGAACATAGTTCTCTCTATTTTCTACCGATTGCATTGGGCCCAGGCCCTGTGCTAGGCATTTAACAAACATCACCATGATCTTCGTCGCAGCCCATTTTGCCCATGGGGACACCAAAGTAAAGAGAGGGTAAGTGACTTTCAGAGTAGAGAATCCAAATCCAACATGCTGACCCCAGTGTCCACGGAGCTCTTCCTATCAAATTCCCATTCCTTCTTTTTTTAAAAAAAAAAATAGAATCTCGCTCTGTCACCCAGGCTGGAGTGTAACAGCACAATCTCAACTCATCACAATCTCCAACTCCCAGGTTTAAGTGTTTCTCCTGCCTCAGCCTCTCAAGTAGCTGGGATTACATGCACATGCCACCATGCCTGGCTAATTTCTGTATTTTTGTAGATGGGGTTTCACCATGTTGGCCAGGCTAGTCTCAAGCTCCTAACCTCTGGTGATTTGCCTGCCTGGGCCTCCCAAAGTGCTGGGATTACAGGCGTGAGCCGGCACACCCAGCTCTGTTCCTTCTGTTGAACTCAGTTCTTCAGTTTTTGGCTTGTTGTTCTTCCTTCCGGGTCATCAGTTTCAAGATTAGTACATCCTGGTGTCATGGTGAAAAGCCCATTGCTGGCAAGCGCATAAGGTGGGTGGGGTGACTGAGGCCTCCAACACAGGAAGGCCTGAGTGAATGCCGGACAGAGTTAGGTGCTGTGTGTCCTGGGATACCCTGCCAAGCAGGCAAACCACAGACATATTTGGCTCTAAAATATTTCCATATGGTCCCTGTGTAGCAGTTCAATTGGCTTGATTCATGCATTCTTTAAATAGCAAGTGGCAATAACCTGTATGATTCTTAGTGTTCCATGTATTCTTCTACCCGTTTATTGTTCTAAGATGTATGGCATAGCTCCTGAGTGCCTTGTGCATGACATAATTGGGGTAAGGAAGAAAAGACCCTGCAACTTTGGAATCTAAGGATTACGTTAAAATTTCAGAATGCTGAATGAATTGAAAGGTGCCCTTCATTGGTGAAAATAATAGGAAGAGTTTTTTATTTTTCTTTTCTGTCTTTAAATCTACTTATCCTCTCTGGGTGCAGTGGCTCATACCTGTAATCCCAGCACTTTGGGAGGCCAATGGATCATTTGAGATCAGGAGTTCGAGACCAGCCTGGCCAACATGGTGAAACTCAGTCTCTACGAAAAATACAAAAAATAAGCCAGACATGGTGGTGTGTGCCTGTAGTCTCAGCTGCTCGGGAGGCTGAGGCAGGAGAATCACTTGAACACGGGAGGCGGAGGTTGCAGTGAGCAGAGATCACGCCACTGCACACCAGCCTGGGGGACAGAGCGAGACTCGGTCTCAAAAAAAAAAAATAATAATAACAATAAATCCACTTATTCTTATGTTCAGCAGCCAAGCTGCTAGGTCAATTCGGATCTCCATATAAAGTAAAGCTTATTCTCTGATGGAAGACATCAGATGCCCCACCTTAATTTCTGCGTCACTTGCTTTAAACAGTTAGGCGACTGTACAACATGCTGAAAGGGATCAGTGGTTTCTCCTGCAGCCAGTTCCAACCTGCTGAAAGGAGCACTGAGGAAATGCATGAACTCAGTAAACCTGAGCTGCCTCCAACAGCCTCACTCACTCCAGCCTCCAAATTTGCAATGCTGGAATGTGAGTCACCTTTAAGATCACTTCATTTGTCTTGGCCAACCCCTTAAATATTTAAGTCGACATCAAATAATGTCTGATAAAACCTTAATGCTTTTCTCGGCAAAGGACAAAACTTAATTTTGAGCCACTACAGCTGAAGAAAGGGACATTATTGACCAAGACAGGGGCCCCAGTTCAGCAGTTTGCCTCCCGTGACCCAGTGACGCACAGCTAAGGAAATGTGGGCCTCGTGACTACCAGGTGGGGCCTGTTTGGTTTCTGACATTCCCAGAGAACAATATCCTGAAGCAGAAACAAGATGTGGTTTCCGATTTTTTTTTTTTTTTTTTGAGACAAGGTCTCACTTTGTCACCCAGGCTGGAACGCAGTGGCATGATCACAGCTCACTGCAGACTCGACCTCCTGGGCGCAAATGATCCACCCCACTCAGTTCCACAAGTGGCTGAGACTATAGGTGCAAGCCACCATGCCTGGCTAGTTTTCATATTTTTTGTAGAGACAGTGTCTTGCCATGTTGCCAAGGCTGGTCTCCAACTCCTGCGCTCAAGTGATCCTTGAGCCTCCCAAACTGTTAGGATTATAGGTGTGAGCCACCACCCCTGGCCAAGACATGGTTTTTGTTTGTGTGTAGGCTATGATTATTTTCCACAAGGAACAGAAGATTTCATAGAGGAACCCACCCACGTGGCTCTTGTCAAAATCCTCAGTGGGGCTTCGAAACACAGCAAGGATAATATTTAAATGTTTTTATATCAATGAAAATTTTAAAATTATAAAATAATATGCCATAGAGGACACACAGATTGTCTACATGGCATCTGTCTCGCCACATCTTCCTTCCCAAGGCCCTGACTTTATTCAGGCATCCACCCCACTCCACGTGCCGGGGAGGCCAGCCCCTGCCAAGCCAGCAAGTGGACCTGATTCTGACGCATCCCCCTGCCAGGAACTGACTTCAGAGTGGGCCTGGGTGGCTGGGTGTGGTGGCTCACACCTGTAATCCCAACACTTTGGGAGGCCAAGGTGGGCGGACAGCTTGAGCCAAGGAGTTTAAGACCTGGGCTACATGGTAAGACCTCTGTGTCTACAGAAAAATACAAAGAAAATAGCCAGATGTGGTGGTGTGTGCCTGTGGTCCCAGCTACACAGGAGGCTGACATGGGAGCATCACTTGAACCCAGAAGACAGAGGTTGCAGTGAGCCAAGATCTCACCACTGCACTCCAGCCTGGGCAACACAGTGACACTCCATCTTAAAAAAAAAAAAAGTGGCCTGGGACCCAGTTCAAGGGGTTCTGGAAGGGTTCCCACAATCTTAAAAAGGTAACACCAAAAAAGAAAGCCCCTGTTTCTGTGTCTGGATGCTGTGTGATTTCTGGGCTGCTGCAGCCATGCTGTGCCCATGAGAAGAGGCCACCTGTGATGGAGGAGATGCGGGGACGGCAGAGCGCAGAGGTGGGAAGACCAAAGAGGGCCTTGGGTGGTGTTGCTGCTCTGGCCGGGCCCAGGCCCTCCTTCTGCTAGCCTTCAGTCATGTGTACTTAGGGTGAGTCAGGGTTATCTGTTTGTGGTAGCTACAAGCAACAAGAGCACATGCTCATTTTAGAAATACGTCTAATAAAGAAATGCATAAGGAAGAAAATAGGGTTGGCATGGTGGCTCATGCCTGTAATCCCAACACTTTGGGAGACAAAGGCAGGAGGACTGCTCCTATGTTACCCAAGAGTTCAAGACCAGCCTGGGCAACATAGTGAGAGCTCGTTTCTACAAAAAATAAAAAATTAGCTGGATGTGGTGGTGCACACTTGTAGTCCTAGCTACTCAGGAGGCTGAGGGAGGAGGATCACTTGAACACAGGAGGTAGAGGCTGCAGTGAGCCGAGACTGTGTCACTGCACTGAGCCTGGGTGACAGAGTGAGACTCTGCCTCAAAAAAAAAAGGAAGAGAGAAGAAAATAAAAATCACCAATAATCACACTATCCAATAATAATCACAATTTATGTTTTCTTGCCTGCCCATCTCTCTTAAACAACTGATTTGGTGGCACTAATTGCAACATATAATGTGACAACAGAAGCAATCCACCTACTGTGTGTAAAAAAATCAGATATCACAACTATTGAAGGCAGAAAGCAAATAGCTCCCAGAATCCCATCCCCTGAGTGGTGGACTCAGCGACCTGTCTTCTATTCTGGGAATGTTTGCCCCAGTGTATCAGTGTTTTCCAATGTGTGGGCTGCTGCTGACTAATGCACGTTTACACAGCCTTTTAAATTCAGATGAGTAAACGGTGGTGTTCCTCAGGCTTAGCTGAATGTCCAGGCTCTGAGAGCTGGAAGACAAGAGGAGCAGAAAGGACGGGGAAAGGAGGGTCTGCTCTTTTCTGCAGGCAATGTTGGCCTGGGCAAAGTAACAAAGCAGGGAGAGCCTAGGCTTTGAGCACAAAGGATCTGAGTTCGAGTTCCCAATTCACCGTTTAAGGCTGTGTGGCATTGGGCAGGCCCCTTAACCACTCTCAGACCGTTTCCTCATCTGTAAAATGAGAATAATGCCTAACAGAGTAGTAAAGGTGAAAGACAGTGCACATGGGCTGGGCACCGTGGCTCATGCCTGTAATCCCAGCACTTCGGGAGGCTGAGGTTGGTAAACCACCTGAGGTCAGGAGTTCAAGACCAGCCTGGCCAACATGATGAAGCCCTGTCTCTACTAAAAATACAAAATTTAGCTGGGTGTGGCGGTGCACACCTGTAATCCCAGCTACTCAGGAGGCTGAGGCAGGAGAAGTGCTTGAACCTGGGAGGTGGAGGTTGTGGTGAGCCGAATTGTGCCACTGCACTCCAGCCTGGGTGACAGAGTGAGACTCTGTCTCCAAAAAAAAAAAAAGGATAGTGTACATGGTATGGCCTCAATAAATAGTGGCCATTATTCAAAATATTTGCCAACTTCCTGAATCTTTTTCTGCCTCTCCTACGACCTCTCCACAGCTCTTTGGTCCCCTGTTGTCCCTGCTCTGTCTGCAATAGCCAGGGGGTTCTTAGCTGCAGACAGCAGGATCCAGCCTAACCAATTCAAGCCAGAAGGGCTTTAGGAAGCGTTAGAGAGAGATCAAGTAACTGGCAGGAGGGCCAGAGATACAGGCACTAGGCAGGCTTCCAGGAACAACCAGCTCTCAGGATCGCACTGAAGAACTGGCTCACCAACGGAGCTGCCACCTCACCTGGGTGAGGCAGCTGCCAAGTCAGGATGCTGCGGCCTTGGTTCCTGCCTCCAGAGCCAAGCTCCGTCTGCCACAACCCACAACAACAAAACGATGCTCTGTTCCCTGCCTCTCTCTCACCTCAGTTCTGAGTCCAAGTCTCCGGCAAGGACGAGCAATTAGCTGAATCTCAGTTACATATCGGAGCCCCAGCAAGGCTGATATTTCTGTGTTGGAAAGGTGATGCTTACACTCAGAATATGGAGAGAAGGGGCCCGGCATGGTGGCTCACGCCTGTCATCTCAGCACTTTGGGAGGCCGAGACAGGTGGATCACCTGAGGTCAGGAGTTTGAGACCAGCCTGGACAACATGGTGAAACCCCATCTCTACTAGAAATACAAAAGTTAGCCAGGCGTGGTGGTAGGCCCCTGTAATCCCAGCTACTCAGGAGGCTGAGGCAGGAGAATCGCTTGAACCTGGGAGGCGGAAGTTACAGTGAGCTGAGATTGCACCACTGCAACAAAGTGAGATTCCCTGTCAAAAAAAAAAGAGAGAGAGTGATGTGGTCTCACTATGTTGCTCAGGCTGGTCTTTAACTCCTGAGCTCAAGTGATCTGTCCACCTTGTCCTCCCAAAATGCTGGGATTACAAGCGTGTACCACCACGCCTGGCCATGATTCACTTTTGTTTTTTTAAGATGGAGTTTCGCTCTTGTTACCCAGGCTGGAGTGCAATGGCGCGATCTCGGCTCACGGCAACCTCTGCCTCCTGGGTTCAGGCAATTCTCCTGCCTCAGCCTCCTGAGTAGCTGGGATTACAGGCACACGCCACCATGCCCAGCTAATTTTTTGTATTTTTAGTAGAGATGGGGTTTCACCATGTTGACCAGGATGGTCTTGATCTCTTGACTTCATGATCCACCCACCTCGGCCTCCCAAAGTTCTGGGATTACAGGCTTGAGCCACTGCGCCCGGCCCATGATTCACATTTTTAAGAAGATGCTTGTCAGTCTAATCTCCAAACAATGACATCTGAAGCAGTGTAAGAAATGAGCTGAAAATGTTTTCAGGGCAATCAAGGAAAGTATTTTTAGTCGGGGCAAATCCAGAATGAGGGTCAGGGTAGCCTGGGAAATGTCCCGAAGGTCAGATTCCTGAAGTTGCTCCTGATGTTCCAAGCTGCTGCCTTTTCTCTGGCACTGGATCAGAATGTATTTGCAAAGGCTCTAATTCTTCTCATAGTGACAGCTTTGGCAAGGGTGGGTGGAGCTGGTAGGTGTAAGCAGGTGGGTTTATGTAATCCAGGGATTATGTACACAATGGAAGTATGAACTGCTGGAGAGTAAGGGCCATTTGAGACAAGCCAGCCTGGTGCCCTCTCCTTATCAGTGAAAACATTAATTGCCTGCAATTAGAGATATTTCCCATTCACTCAGCATAAATTATTTCATCAAATACATACTCTTTTATTCTGTAGGTGGGTAAGATAAATATTGCTTCTCATCCTGCCAGAGAGCTTATTAGCTCCTTGACAACAGCCAGGTCTTCTCTTTCACAGGGATACCAGCTCCTTGGTGGTGTTCTTCCACCTAACCTTGTTTAATTTCACACCAATAAGACCAGGTGTGATTTGAAAGGCATCCTTCCAACTCCTGAAATGTATTCCTTCCAGGGTAGAACAGAATTTGGAATTCGTCCTTAATCCCTAAGGACAGGTGGCCTAACGATTGTCCAGACTGTATATTTTTTTTCTTTTCTGGGACGGAGTCTCACTCTGTTGCCCAAGCGGGAGTGCAGTGGTGCAATCTCCGCCCACTGCAACCTCTGCCCTGGGGTTCAAGCAATTCTTATGCCTCAGCCTCCTGAGTAGGACAGGCGCATGCCACCATGCCTAGCTAATTTTTTTTTTTTTTTAGCAGAGACAGGGTTTTGCCATGTTGCCCAGGCTGGTCTTGAGCTCCTGAGCTGAGGCAATCCAACCGTCTTAGCCTCCCAAAGTATTGGGATTACAGGCATGAGCCACTGCGCCCGGCCTGGACAGGCTGTATTTTTCTTCCTTCATCAGTGTGTGCAGAGGTTTGTTTTCCCAGATGTTAAGTGAGCTTTTGAGACCCTGCTTGGGAAGTCAGCAAAGCCAGGGCTTCCTTCATCCTGTTGAAGAAGGTGGGATGGTTTCTGGAAAGTACTAGCTATTTCTTTCCCATGCTGAGCCTCTTGGGATCACTTTGCCAGTCAAAGCCTGAGCTCCCTGCATAATCCGAGAGGAACGCGGTACAGAGGTGATGACAGACAGCAGCTTCCAAGTGCACCGCCCGCATGCGTGCCTGCCACGAACATCAGAACAATTACAGGAAGGAGGCTTTCAAAATGCATAATTATAACCTTGACTTAGGAAAGCGTGACCTTCTCTGGCTGGGGCCAAGGCTTTCCTTATATTAAGGGCACTCCTGGACCAGCAGCTGGAGTGCTCTGTACATTGGACGTGGAGGCATCTGGAATAATATTACATAGCAGAAGTATGTCCATTGCCCTTGGAATGTATGAGGCTCGGGGACAGTCCTCCACTGGGTGGAGACAGGAGGCCTCATTAATGAGTCATCTTTGTTCCCTTTTCCATGCTTTATAATTAGGGTGACACACAGTTTAGTTGGTCCGGGACAGATTCAAGCGATTCTCCTGGCTCAGCCTCCAGAGTAGCTGCCACCATGCCCAGCTAATTTTGTATTTTTAGTACAGACGGGGTTTTTCCATGTTGGTCAGGCTGGCTGGTCTTGAACTCCCAACCTCAGGTGATCTGCCTGCCTTGGCCTCCCAAAGTTCTGGGATTACAGGCATGAGCCACTGTGCCAGGCCATGAAAGACTTCTTCCTTTCCTTTCTCCTCTCCTCTCCTGTCCTCTCCTTTGATGGACTCTTGCTTAGTTGTCCAGGCTGGAGTGCAATGATGCAATCTCAGCTCACTGCAAGCTCCACCTCCTGGGTTCAAGTGATTCTCTGGCCTCAGCCTTCTGAGTAGCTGGGATTACAGGCGCCCACCATCAGGCCTAGATAATTTCTGTATTTTTATAGAGACAGAGTTTCACCAGGTTTGCCAGGCTGGTCTTGAACTCCTGACCTCAGGTGATCCAAGCTTCCCAAAGTGCTGGGATTTCAGGCGTTAGTCTCCGTGCCTGGTCATGAAAGAATTTCTTATCCCTCTGCTGCACCAAATGTTTCTTCCTGCAGGAGATGGCCAGGGTTAGTAGTGCTGGATTTTCTTGAGCAATTCGTTGGTGACAGACCAACTCCATGGGGAAAATTCTCATCTAAGGGTTGATCTGTGAAGTTACATAATAATTCCTCAGCCCTGTCTTAAAGCTTTAGGGCACATTGATTAGGCTGTCAAACACTCATTTGGCCTGTGAGAAAATAGCTTATTGTTCTCTTTTTAAAATACCAATCTCTTGGAAAGATGTTGATTGGGTTTCTATGTGCCCCCCAAAGGTGCCTCTGTGTAGAGCTTACCTCAGTTGCATTGTTTTGTTTTGTTTTGTTCTGTTTTTTTGAGACAGTCTTGCTCTGTCACCCAGGCTGGAGTGCAGTGGCGTGATCACAGGCATGTGTCACCATGCCTGGCTAATTTTTGTATTTTTAGTAGAGACGGGGTTTCACCATGTTGGCCAGGCTGGTCTCAAATTCCTGACCTCACGTGATCCTCCCGCCTCGTGATCCTCCCAAAGTGTTGAGATTACAGGCCTGAGCCAACATGCCCGGCTTTCTGTTGCATTTACTACAAGGAAAAAAGAAAGACGGAAAACTGTTGGGCAAATGGAACTCAACAAACACCAGGTAGCCAATTATGGCAAATGAAGAGGATGCCTACCATTTAATTTTGTAAATATGGGGTATCTCCCTGGAATAATGGTCCAAAAATCCTCCCACCCATGGCCCCAGCCCACTCTCACCTCTGCAGCAATGGATGAGATGGGACTTCTGCAGCCCCAGTGACCCCTGACAATCCTGTCAGGTAGCTCCTTGCAGACATGGAAGAGGGTTGTGGAAAAGTTCATGAAATTCCAAGTTTGTTCCAATATCCTGTTACTGATAAAAATGTCCCTTTAAATTCCAAATCAAAAGCCCTGACTTTTTAGCAAATTTGTGTCTGTACTACTTCTCAGACTTGTAAGACACAATATGCAAACAATGATAAAAACATGAGTCGTTCAGTTTTACTCTGCCCCAAGAGCCAAGGGCTGAAGAGCAGGTCCATCACACGGCTGTCTGTTCAGACAGGAGCAGGTGCCTCCTCCCAGGCTCCCACTCCAGAACTTTACTTTGAGCCTCTTCCAACTGGAAGGTTTTTTTTCCCAACCTCTGCCCTCCACAGTTCCACACCATCCTTCCTTGTTCATTTCCTCTGTGTAACACCGAGATTTAAGGGTCGGAATTAATTTCTCCTCCTTCTGGGTTCTGGCTCTGGATTTTCTCACATCATTACTAAAGTTCTCATAATAGTCTGCCTTATTTAGGGATTCCTCAGGCACACAAATTTCTTACAACAGCAAAAGCCCCCAAAATGTTTAAATCAATGTGAATTTTTACAGGGTTTAAAAATATGTATGTCAGGGACCAGGTTCAGTGGTTCACACCTGACCAGCACTTTGGGGGCCGAGGTGGGTGGATCACGAGGTCAGGAGTTTGAGACCAGCCTGGCCAGTGTGGTGAAACCCCGTCTCTACTAAAAATACAAAAATTAGCCGGGCATGGTGGTGGGTACCTGTAGTCTCAGCTACTCAGGAGAATCACTTGAACCCGGGAGGTGGAGGTTGCAGTGAGCCAAGATCATGCCACTGACTCCAGCCTGGGCAACAGAGCAAAACTCCATCTCAAAAAAACAAAAACAAAAAAATGTGTGTCAGCTGGGTGTGGTGGCTCATGCCTATAATCCCAGCACTTTGGGAGGCTGAGGCAGGAGGAATGCTTGAGCCCAGGAGTTTGAGATCAGTCTGGACAACATAGCAAGACTCCATCTCTACAAATAAAAATAAATTCACTGAACCTGGTGGTGCACACCTGTGGTCCCAGCTATTCTGGAGGCTAAGGCAGGAGGATCACCTGAGTCCAGGAGTTGGAGCCTGCAGTGAGCAGTGGTGGTGCCGATGCACTCCCGCCTGGGTGAGAGTGAGACTCTATATATAGTCTCAAAAAAAAAAAGGGGGGAGAATCAAAACTTCTGTATTCTTTGCTTTACCAGACAATAAACAAACCATGAAGTCCCAGAAGCATTTTCTGGAGGCTCCCAGCCATAGCAGGAACACAGGTCTCCTCTCAGTTCCCGATGGCAGAGCTGTTTTCTTGTTTTGCCTTTAGTCATTTACTTGAGAAAACTGCCCCTGTCCTGCTGCTGCCTGCCTCTGACCGTGCCCCAGTTATAAGTAAGCTGCTAAATGCAAATGTGGGTGTTTTATGTAACCTGCAGTCCCTGCATCTGCAGCTGTGTATTTTGTTCAAAGCTCCAAGCCCTTCTGCTTTACTTTTTGGTGCTGAAGTTTGGGCAAGGGTGTTTTCTACAACAATTCCACTTGCTTCGGGCCCCTTTGGGGCTCAGCCCTTGCTCTTGGCTGCGGGTGAGAAGGGGTGGAGGTCTGGGGCCTTCAGTCTGGGTAGCGACTGTTCTTCCCTGATGCTTGCCCCTCCAAGAGAAGGTATTTTAGACACTGACTTCACTGTGAGTTGTTGAAACCAAAGCAGCGTGTTCTCCTGCTTTCAAAACACAGGATACAAATCACCGTTTCCTAAGCAAAAAGGAACAAAATTAGCACCGAGAGAGGTCGTGGGAGATGTTTTCTGAGTATCTCAAAATACTTGGCGGGATGAAGCAAGAGGACCTATATTTAAAATCCTCTTTATCAAGGCCTGTCTGAAGTCAGTTTATTGTCTGGTAAAGAGAAGAATACAGAAGTTTTGACTCTCTTTTTTTTGAGACTATAGAGTCTCGCTAAAAAAATAATAATAAAATAATAAAAGATTGTGGACTTAATGGAAGAAAGGCACCTTCCTTCTTCACAGGGCAGAAGGAAGGAGAAGTGCTGAGCGAGCAAAGGGGGAAAAGCCCCTTCTAAAACCATCAGACTGCCTGAGAACTCACTCACTATCACAAGAACAGCATGAGGGTGACTGCCCCCATGATTCATTACCTCCCACCGGGTTCCTCCCAGACCCTTGGGGATTATGGAAACTACAATTCAAGATGAGATTTGGGTGGGGACACCGGCAAACCATATCATTCTGGCCCTGGCCCCTTCCAAATCTCATGTCCTCACATTTCAAAACACAGTTGTGCCTTTCTCCCAAAGTCTTAGCTTATTCCAGCATTAACCCACAAGTCCAAGTCCAAAGTCTCATCTGACAAGACAGGTCCCTTCTGACTATGAGCTTGTAAAATTGAAAGCAACTTAATTACTTCCTACATACAATGGGGGTTCAGGCATTGAGTAAATACACCCATTCTAAATGGGAGAAATTGACCAAAACTGAGGGGCTACAGGCTCCATGCAAGTCCAAAATCGAATAGGGCAATTATTAAACCTTAAAGTTCCAAAATAACTCTGCCATCAGGAATTGATGTCTCACATCCAGGTCACACTGATGCAAGAGGTGGGCTCCCAAGGCCTTAGGCAGCTACCCCTGTGGCTTTTTAGGGTACAGCCCCCTCCCAGCTGCTGGCTGCTGGCTACTTTCTTAGGCTGGTGTTGAGTGTCTGTGGCTCTCCACAATCTTTTATCTTAACCTGAACATTCCTTTTCTATCAATCCCAGGTCTTTAGACAAACTCAACCGTCAACTAAAAATGTTTAAGTTCACCTATAGTCTGGAATCCCATCCTCCAACTTTGAGTTGTCCTGCCTTTTTCTTTTTTTTTTTTTTTTGAGCTGGAGTCTTGCTCTGTTGTCCGAGCTGGAGCACAATGGCATGATCTCTGCTCATTGCAACCTCTGCCTCTCAAGTTCAAGCAATTTTCCCACCTCAGCCTCCTGAGTAGCTGGGATTACAGGCACCTGCCACCACACCTAGCTAATTTTTGTAGTTTTAGTACAGATGGAGTTTCACCATGTTGGCTAGGCTGGTCTCAAACTTTTGACCTCAAGTGCTCCTCCTGCCTTGGCCTCCCAAAGTGCTGGGATTACTTGGTGCAGGCGTGAGCCACTGTACCAAGCCCCAATGTATTTCTTAAATGTATCTGATTGATGTCTCATACCTCTTTAAAATGTATAAACCAAGCTTTGCCCTGACCACCATGGGCACACGTTCTCAGGACTTCCTGAGAGCTGTGTCTCTGGCCATGGTCGCTCATATTTGGCTCAGAATAAATCTCTTCAAATATTTTACACAGTTCGACTGTTTTCATCAACAGTCATCACCCAGGGCAAATGGTTATTCCCAGAGCCACTTCCATAACCGATGGCTGCAAGATCCAGGCTCTCTAAAGGGAGGCTGAGGACAGTGACCCTTGGAAACAAGCATTTTCTTGTTGTCCAACAATGCAAGCCACTTCCTCCCTCCACAACCAAGAACCCGTTTCCTCTCTGGAGCTCAGTCAACCAGCATAATTGCTCTAGCAGAAAAGTCACCTTTCAGAGCTTGGTGTTTTGAGACCGGAACGCTTCTTACGTGTTCCTTGGAAGACAAAGAATGCTCCTCAATGAAAACCGAGTAAACAACTCCACGCCTCTATTCTGGGTAACATGACAGAAGTTAAAAGGAAGCAGTTGGTCTGGAGTCAGTTCCAACTATTGTGTTGTTTGCACAGAAAGCACAGAATTAAAAAGCACAGGGGAGTCCAGTGGATTCCAAGGAAAATGTTTGCATGCCCACAAATTATGATGAATTATGACACCGTTTTCAAAGAAAGAGGATATCAGCATTTTATGCATTTAGTTAATGTAACAGCTAACATTTTGCTAAACTGGCTGGGTGCGGTGGCTCACGCCTGTAATCCCAGCACTTTGGGATGCTGAGGTGGGTGGATCACAAGGTCAGGAGATCGAGACCATCCTGGCTAACAGGGTAAAACCTCATCTCTACTGAAAATACAAAAAATTAGCCAGATGTGGTGGCACCTGCCTGCAGTCCCAGCTACTAGGGAAGCTGAGGTGGGAGAATTGCTTGAACCCAAGAGGTGGAGGTTGCAGTGAACCGAGATCGTGCCGCTGCACTCCAGCCTGGGCGACAGAGTGTGACTTCGTCTCAAAAAAACCCCAAAAAAACAGTCTGCTAAACTGTGATGAGGCTGGGGACTCTGGTGGCTGGAAATGAGTAAAGCTGAGTACTGGTGGACTGTTTTGTTCCTCTTAGAGCACATGGAACAGCACATTCTTCCAAGACTGAGCACTAAACAATAAAAGCTACAGAAAGCAAAGAGAAAATACACTTCTGAGCCGCATGTGGTGGCTCATACTTTAGGAGGCCAAGGCAGGCCGGAACATGAGGTCAGGAGCTCGAGACCAGTCTGGTCAACATAGTGAAACCCTCTCTCTACTAAAAATATAAAAATTAGCTGGGTGTAGTGGTGTGCGCCTGTAATCCCAGCTACTCGGGAGGCTAAGGCAGGAGAATCGCTTGAACTGGGGAGGCAGAGGTTGCCGTGAACCAAGATCGCGCCACCACGCATCAGCCCGGGCGACAGTGTGAGACTGTCTCAAAAAAAAAAGAAGAAAGAAAAGAAAATATACCTTTGAACAGTTAGTTTCAGTTCATTCTCTTTCAGATTGTTAAACAAAAATTATAGGAGACCCTTGTTTTGGACTAAACTCCTGCTTTAGGCCCCAAAAGACCAGACTAAAATAAAAATGGACTCACCCATGCTCAGCAAACCAATACTGAGTTGTTATCTGTCTTCCCAATAAATCAGGAGAGAGAAACAGCAGCCAAATTTCCCAAGCAGACCAGTTTCAATCTCTAGTTAGCATGCTAATGAAGTTCCCTCTCTTTAGCCCTTACAACAAAGAATAACCCAGTGGGCTCTGTGGCCCATGTCTATAACCCCAGCACTTTGGAAGGCCCAGGCAGGAGGATCACGTGAGGCTGGGAGTTTGAGACCAGCCTGGGCAACATAACAAGATACCATCTCCACAAGAAAAAAAGAGATGCAACTATGATAAAAAGAGTAGCTATGGGCCGAGTGTGGTGGCTCACGCCTGCAATCCCAGCACTTTCGGAGACCGAGGCGGGCAGATCACAAGGTCAGGAGATCAAGACCATCCTGGCTAATGCGGTGAAAATCCCGTCTCTACTAAAAATACAATAAATTAGCCAGGTATGGTGTCATGAGCCTGTAATCCCAGCTACTTGGGAGGCTGAGGCAGGAGAATTACTTAAACCTGGGAGGCACAGGTTGCAGTAAGCCAAGATTTTGCCACTGCACTCCAGCCTGGGCTATATGAGACTCCATCTCAAAAAAATAAAAATAAAAAGTCACGCCAGTAATCCCAGCACTTTGGGAGGCCAAGGGGGAGGATCACCTGAGGACAGGAGTTTCAGATCAGCCTGGCCAACACGGTAAAACTTATACAAAAATTAGCTGGGCATGGTGGCACACACCTGTAATTCCAGCTACTCGGGAGGCTGAGGCAGCAGGCAGATGTTGCAGTGGGTGGAGATCACACCACTCCAGCCTGGGCAATGGAGTGAGACTCTTGTCTCAAAAGAAAAAAAAAGCAACAGATGATGCGTAGATATACACTCATCTTTTTTTTTTTTAGATGGAGATGAATGTATATCTACGTGTCATCTGTTCCTTTTTTCTTTTCTTTTCTTTTTTTTTTTTTGAGACAGAGTCTGGCTCTGTCGGCCATGCTGGAGTGCAGTGGTGGGATCTCGGCTCACTGCAATCTCTGCCTTCCAGGTTCAAGTGATCCTCCTGCCTCGGCCTCCTGAGTGGCTGGGACTACAGGCATGCACCACCATGACTGGCTAATATTTTTGTATTTTTGGTAGAGACAGGGTTTTACCATCTTGCCCAGGCTGTTCTCTAACTCCTGACCCACAAGCGGTTTGCCTGCCTCTGCTCCCAAAGTGCTAGGATGATAGGTATGAGCCACCACACCCGGCCTAAACATTCATCTCCTATGCTGGGGTCCCGTCCCTCAGGCCCTCTGTTTTGCTTGCCTATGGGAAGGACCCACACAAAGCATGGCGCTGCTGCCTCCCACCTCTCTAGAGGAGACGTGCTGCACCCAGGTTAGGAGCAAGGCCTTCCTGCCCACCGGGCTTGGGTTATGACAACCACTTTTAACACAGAAACTTAGGACTCCAGATGAGAACAGTGGAGGAGCTCAGACAGTGCTGAGCTGCGTCATCACCACGGGCTTTATTGAGCACATTTATATGGCACTGCACACTCACTCCGTTGGAGGAAAGCCACTCAGATGGGGAGAATATTAAGTCCGTGTGTGTGTGTGTGTGTGTGTGTGTGCATTTGTATAGCGGGACATGGAACAGAGGGCTGAAAACTGACACAAACATTAACACCAGCTGGGAGTGGTGGCTCACACCTGTACTTCTAACACTTTGGGAGACAGAGGCAGGAGGATCACTGGAGCCCAGGAGTTTGAAACCAGACCAGCCTGGGCAACATATTGAGACCCCATCCTGTTTTCAGATAGATAGATAGATAGATAGATAGATAGATAGATAGATAGATAGATAGTCAATACCAAATTGTGTTCATAGACTGTGGGCTAAAACCAGCCAGCATAGCTCCTTTCTCAAAGTGACTTTCAGGTGTCTGTGATCATGTCAGCAAGCTCCAAGTGAAGCTTGAAAACCAGCTCAGCCGTCAGCACCTGGGAAACCTCTAGAATGCCCCTGTGGAGCAAGTTAAGGAGGGCACCTTTAAGTCACCGGGAATCCCCGAGCCCTTCGGTGGGTGAGGAGGTCATGACTGGTTCTGCTACCTGCTGCTGCGGGCGGGATCTTCTGACATGGTCTGTGGCCTCCTCTGTGTCTCATTTCTCTTCCTGTTTTCTTGGACTTTCTCAATCTCTCTCTTCCTCTCTCCTTTTCATCTATGTCTTCATTAACTGGCATAACAGAATAGAAATACATAATAGATTTTTTGTACTGAAAATACTTTTAAATATGTTCACATTTTTCATTAGTTTGAAACTACATGAACGAGACCCTTTTTTCTGGAGTACAATAGCACCATCTCGGCTCACTGCAACCTTTAGTCTTGAGTAGAGACAGGGTTTCACCATGTTGGCCAGGCTGATCTTGAAATCCCGAACTCATGATCCACCCACCCAGGCCTCCCAAAGTGCTGGGATTACAGGCCTGAGCCACTGCGCCTGGCCTGTTTCTTTTCCTTCCAACCCAACATTCACTAGCTGTGTGACCTTGGCAAGTGATTGTCCCTGGGTCTCTTTCCCTGTCTTTAAAGTGGAGATAACAATGCCAGCCTCAGAAACTCTTCTGAGAATTATGTGAGATGAAGGTAAAGCCCGGAGCCCGGAGCCTTGACCCCGGAGCCCGATGCCTGGCGTGGGCTACGTGGTTCTGAAGGAGAAGTGATTTTTTTGTTTGTGGCTCTTTGTTCTTTCCCCTGTGGGTTCCCCCGTGTTGGAATAAATTAGATTCTCCCTTGCCCCAGACTCTGAAGTTATTGAAGCTCTTCATTGATCAGCTGCTTCTCTCCAGTCCTTAAGTGATCCTGATGGTATATTACACCCCATGGGGGAAGTGTGAACTCTTTTAGCTGATGGGCAAATTATTGCTTTCTGCAAAATGCCACCCTGGTGGCTGGATACAAGTATTCATGGGGGTTCAGCAAGGTGGGCGGAGAGGAAAAGTGTGGGGCTGGAGAGCACAACCTGCCTCTCTCCATGAACCAAATAATTACCTTCGTTCCTCCCTCCCTCCCTTCTTCCCTTCCTTCCTTCCTCCCTCCCTCCCTCCCTCCCTCCCTCCCTCCCTTCCTTCCTCCCTTCCTTCCTCCCTCCCTCCTTCCCTTCTTCCCTTCTTCCCTTCCTTCCTTCCTCCCTCCCTCCCTCCCTTCCTTCCTTCCAGGGGGTCTCACTCTGTTGCCTAGACTGGAGTAATAATTACCTCCTTCCCTCCCTCCCTTCCTTCCTTTCAGAAAGGAAGTCTCACTCTGTTGCCTAGACTGGAGTGCAGTGGCGCCATCAGGGCTCATTGCAGCCTCAACTTCCTGGGCTTAAGTGATTTTCCCACTTCAGCCTCCTGAGTAGCTGGGACCACAGGTGCTACCACACCCAGCTAATTTTTTTTTTTTTTGAGACGGAGTCTCGCTCTGTTGCCCCGGCTGGAGTGTAATGTAAATCTCGGCTCACCTCAACCTCTGCCTCCCGGGTTCAAGTGATTCTCCTGCCTCACCCCAAGTAGCTAGGATTACAGGCATGCGCCACCATGCCTGGCTAATATTTGTATTTTTACTGGAGATGGAGTTTCACTGTGTTGGCCAGGCTGGTCTCCAACTTGCTACCTCAGATGATCCACCTGCCTCAGCCTCCCATAATTTTTTTTTTTTTGAGACGGAGTCTCACTCTGTTGCCTAGGCTGGGGTGCAATGGCGTGATCTCAGCTCACTGCAACCTCCGCCTCCTGGGTTCAAGCTATTCTCCTGCCTTAGCCTCCCGAGAAGCTGGGACTACAGGTGCACACCACCACACCCAGCTACTTTTTGTATTTTTAATAGAGATGAGGTTTCACCATATTGGCCAGGCTGGTCTCAAACTCCTGACCTCGTGATCCACCCACCTAGGTCTCCCAAAATGCTGGGATTACAGGCGTAAGCCACCATGCCCTGCCAGAACCAAGTAATTTCAATGTCCCCTGACCAGGGAGAAGTACAGGGTGATTTCCTTGATTCATGGCAAAATGAGGTAGAGGAACTGATATCCAGACTGATTTTTTTTTTTCCTCTGAACTCTACTTATCTGCTTAAAATCAGAACCTCCCAAAATAATTCAACTGTCACAGATCCCCTCACCGGGGCTTTTTAGGGAAATTGACTCTTCTCACTGGTCACTCACCAGGATAAGCAATCACCTAAAGAGCTGTTGTCACAAGACTAACATAAATCCCAGCTGTTCTCCTCTGGCCCATTCATCCTTCCTAAGAGTCCCCCTCCATGAAGATGGTATACAAGCCCCAAATCCTAACCACTTAACCTTGAGTCACACTTTTCTGTGAACTCTGGTGTACCTGAAAAGAATTGTTTTTTTTTTTTTGAGATGGAGTTTCACTCTTCTTGCCCAGGCTGGAGTGCAATGACATGATCTCAGCTCACTGCAACCTCTGCCTCCCAGGTTCAAGCGATTCTCCTGCCTCAGCCTCCAAAGTAGCTAGGATGCACCACCCCTGGCTAATTTTGTATTTTTAGTAGAGATGGGGTTTCTCCATGTTTGTCAGGCTGGTCTCGAACTCCCAACCTCAGGTGATCCACTTGTCCACTCACCTCAGCCTCCCAAAGTGCTGGGATAGGCGTGAGCCACTGTGCCTGGCCTCTACCAGAATTTAATTAGATATAGCCAATCTATAATCTTCTTTATGCCAGATGTGTCATATTGGGGACCAAGACTGTACTTCCCATGAGATGCCACGAAGTCCCAGCCTTACAGGTAGGTACATATCTCTTCCCACAGGCCAGGCACACCAGAGAGGTTTGGGAATCTCGAGAAAATATGGGCAGCCCTACACTGATGGGCACTGCAGGGAAAACCTGGAGGGGGGGCATTTACATGGCTTTTGGCTTATGGTTTCAGAGAGTACTGGTGATGAAAGGCAATTAGAACAAAATTTTGAAGACAATACCGTTGCTCAGGAATCTCTTAAACTCTTAAGACAGATGTCAGTTCTTTGACTTTAGGAATCACTAAAGTTAGGGCAAAAATTAGAGGCCTAATTATCCCTGTTGGAAACAAGGCAAGGCCAGGCGAGGTGGCTCATGCCTGTAATCCCAGCACCTTGGGAGACCAAGGTGGGTGGATCACCTAAGAGTTCAAGACCAGCCAGGCCAACATGGTGAAACCCCATCTATACTAAAAAGACAAAAATCAGCTGGGAGTGATGGCAGGTGCCTCTCATCCCAGCTACTCAGGAGGCTGAGGTAGGAGAATCACTTGAACCTGGGAGGCGGAGGTTGCAGATTGCACCACTGCACTCCAGGCTGGGCAACAGAGCGAGACTCCATATCAAAAAAAAAAAAAAAAAGAAAGAAAACAAGGTTTACTTCCACCCCCTTTCTTTCAGAATTTCTTTCTGTCCTCTTCAAAAGTGTATACATCTTTTAAGTGGTGAAATGAGTCTCCTGGCAGTTTCCCAACTCAAGTTATGTTTCCCCAAGGACCTGAGCCGCCCCTTTGAACTGTAATCAAGGAAGATAACTGTTTTCTGGAGAGGAAAGGTGATCCCAACTTCAGTCGTCACCTGACTCTAAATGGCAAAACCCACTTACACGGTGCTTGGATGTATCCGCTTAGCTGTATCAGTGGGGATTTGTCTCTGCAGTTCTTTCAGGGGGCTCCCTGTGGTGCTCATCGCATTTTGGCTTAATGCTTATTCAATCACAAAATTGTTTTCTTTTGTTTTTACCTTAGTGGCGAGGCTCCCTGGGTTGGGGGATTTTGTTTTTAAATTATATTTCCCCAACATGTGAGTGCAGTGTTGTTAAGCAAACAGCAAACAGATCTTTGGATGTTAATCATTGCCTCTTGCTGCACCTATGTAAATAAGAGACCTCACAGAACCCACCTTGCATGACATACAGACCCAGGTGAATAATCCAGGAGAAATGGTCACTGCAACGGGGCTGTTGGGAACACTTTCCCTAATACGGAAACTGGCTTAAAGGAATAACATCAATGTGTAAATAAGCACCAGTAGGAGTCAGGATGATGCATGTGTTCTGCAAAGTCAGGCCACACCTAAGTCCTACCAACCCTGAGAAAGGACAAAGCAGTCCTCAGACCAGCAGTATCAGCATGGCCTGCGAGCTTGTGAACTGCAGACTCTCAAGCCAGGCCAGACCCATGGAACCAGAAGCTGCGTTTTGACGGCATCCCCAGGCAAGTCCTTTGCAAATTGGGAAGCGCTGAGCTGGACAACAAATTCACTTATGTTCCTAGACCAAAAATGCAAAGAGGAGGGTCTTCGGAACCAAGACACACAGGGGATTTAACCAAGGCAGTTACTATGTCTGGTCAAACAAGAGGGGCCGGGCACAGAGGTTCACACCTGTAATCCCAGCACTTTGGGAGGCCAAGGCTGGCAGATCACCTTTGGTCAGGAGTTCAAGACCAGCCTGGCCAACATGGCGAAACCCCATCTCTACTAAAAGTACAAAAATTAGCCAGGCATGGTGGTGGGCGCCTGTGATCCCAGCTACTCAGGAGGCTGAGGCAGGAGAATCCCTTGAACTCGGGAGGCGGAGGTTGCAGTGAGCAGAGATTGTGCCAGTGCACTCCAGCCTAGGTGAGAGAGTAAGACTATCTCAAAAACAAAAGAAACAGGGACCATAAGCTGAAGACTAAACCAGGCTTGGGACAGAGCCCTTTCTACCTGGTATAATTTCATAAATTCCTAACTTCCTTCGGTGTAGAGACTGGCAAGACTGGGAAGGCATTTTCTGGGAAACCAGTTACTCACCCACCCAGCTTCCTGTCAGGACCACCAGCTGGTGACTCTGGATTTGGCCTAACAACAATAATCCAGCTCTCATATTTTCCTATAAAACATCCCAACGTAAACAGGAACTTCTGAATTTTACTACAGCCTGGCCCCTGCATACAATATTGTAACAATTTTAATGCAACTGTCTGAAAAGTCTTCTCTTACTCATCTAAGAAAAAATGGGAATGGATAAATTAATTTGACCTTATGTAAAGTTACACTGAGAGGCCACCAGAAAATGTGGGAAGAACTATTAGCAGGCAGTTCAGAGAAAGCCCAGCTAAAGTAAAAGCAAGCCAGGTCGGGCACGGTGGCTCATGACTATAATCCCAGCACTTTGGGAGGCCAAGGCCGGTGGACCACTTGGTCAAAAGTTCCAGACCAGCCTGACCAATATGATGAAACCCTGTCTCTACTAAAAATACAAAAATTAGCTGGGTATGGTGGTGGGTGCATGTAGTCTCAGCTACTCGGGAGGCTAAGGCAGGAGAATTGCTTGAACCAGGGAGGTGGAGGTTGCGGTGAGCCAAGATTGTGCCACTGCACTCCAGCCTAGGTGACAGAGCGAGACTCTGTATCAGAAAAAAAAAAAGAAAAAGCCAGCTAAGGAAGGGGAAATTAACAGGGAAAACAACTGTAGAGTGCGAACTGGAGTATGAGGCCGTGGGAAGCTTTTGTGTATGCACACTAACGTAAACACTGCATGTACAGAGGACAATGGTGCAGGGAGGGTGCGGAAGGGGAAGCAGAGGGTGATGAGGAAGAGCTCAGTCCACATCTACCAGTAAGGAAGTCCAACGGCGAGGACCAAGATGACTCAGAGAGAAGCAGAGCAGCACGCCCGCTCCTCCGAAACAAAGCTGGCAAAGCTGAAGGGATGGAAAGCGGTGTCCGCTGGGAGCGCCAGGGCAGGGAAGCTTAGCCTACTCCTAGAAGCCTTTTAGTTATATGAATTTTTCCAAGTAATGCATGTATTATTTTGGGGAAAAAAATTTAAACAAAAAGAGATGTTTTTGTTACAATGTTGGGGCATGTTAAAAAAACAAAACAAAACAAAACACCAAGTCAGAGGAAGTGAGCTTTTATTTCATTTTGATCTCTTCATACCTCCCTTGATCTTCCCTATTAACTTTTAAAGGGGTGAAGTATCTTGGAACAAAGACAGTACATTAGGGAAGGAGACTCATGCGCCTTAGAATTTTTTTTTTTTTTGAGAGTCTCACTCTTGTCACCCAGGTTGTAATGCAGTGGGGTGATCTTGGCTCACTGCAACCTCCGCCTCCTGGGTTCAAGTGATTCTCTTGCCTTGGCCTCCTGAGTAGCTGGGATTATAGGCATGTGCCACCAGGCCAGGCTAATTTTTCTATTTTTAGTAGAAAGGAGGTTTCACCATGTTGGCCAGGCTGGTCTCAAACTCCTGATCTTAAGTGATCCGCCCACCTCGGCCTCCCAAAGTGCTGGGATTCCAGGCGTGAGCCATCATACCCGACCATGCCTTCAGATTTGAGGGGCTTCATGATGTGCCGTAGATTTTATGGGGGGATTTGCCCATAACTCAACCTGATAGAAGAGGACAACTGAGCAGAGTTTTCAAACAGGCTTATGTCAGAAATTTAACTTTCAGAAATCTACTCAATGGGACCAGCCACGCACAGGAAGTGAAATGTGGCTTACAGAGCCTCACGTGGGAGTGAACACTAAAACCCAAGTCTTGGTTTTGTTAAAAGGGATTTGTCGTTCAAAGAAAGTGGAAGTCTTATTTTAATTCAAGAAAATAACTAAATGTTTTGCTGCTGGAGCTGCAGTTCTAACATGGCATTGCATAACCAGTTACATAACCCTCCACAGCTGACAGTCTGTGAACACGTGACCTTCTTCCAATGACTTACATGGAGCTACTTTCATTACCATTGCAATAAAGAGAACTTGTTTTTGGCTGTAGCTGCATAATTGATCTGAAAAAAAAAAAAAAAACCCAGAACAATCATTTTAAATACATTCATCACATGTAACCACATAAAAAAAACCCAAGCAGGCTTCTGTGAGAATGTAGTCTTTGTGGTCTTGTTGATAGCAATTTAAATACTGATATAAATGAAAAAAAACATCTACTCTGTTGAAAAATCGGGTAAGTCCAGGGCTCCCAGCCTCAAGGAGCTAGTGTAGAGGTAGTGTTCAGGGAAGCCAGGGCACAGGCCAGGAAACAAACAATTCCAAAGTCACAGGGTGAGCTCCATGAATGAGGTGGGCACTGGAAGAGGACAGACCCAGGGCTGAGACCCTCGTCACAAAGAAAGACAGTCTCCAGCTTCATCACCACAGTGAAGGGCACACGATCTTTATGTGAACAGTCTATACCAGAACTCTTCCAAGTATCACTCATTGCAGGACATGTGGCTTAACAGGAGCCAAAAAGATAGTGACCCCATGCATAGACCTGGGATCCTCCCAATTTGAGACAGACTCACTCAAGTGATTCTCCTGCCTCTGCCTCCCGAGTAGCTGGGATTACAGGCATGCTCCACCACGCCTGGCTAAATTTGCATTTTTAATAGAGATCGGGTTTATTCATTTTGGTCAGGCTGGTCTTGAACTCCCGACCTCAGGTGATCCGCCCACCTCAGCCTCCCAAAATGCTGGGATTACAGGTGTGAGCGACCGCATCCGGCCTTATCCTGCATATTCTAATGACCTGCTTCCTGTCTCCCTTGTCCTGGAAGTAAGTTCTCTGAGAGGAGGGAGTCTGTTTTGCTTCTGGCTTTAGTTTAATGTAGCCAGCAGTACTTGTTCAACTAAAACCATGAGAAAGCTGTTAACCAGACTAATAAGAGAACATACAGGACTCTATTTAAGATTACACTTTCAGAATGGTCAATCTCTGCCCAGCAAGTCCACTTTCACTTTCCCACCAGCTAACAGTCAGCAGTCTTAACTGTGCTGGCTTTGTGCAAACTTTGTTTGGTCTTGATAGGTACCCGTCAATTTCAAATATGAGCAACGTTCCTGCCAGAGACACTTCTAAACCCTTAATGCACACTGTCTGGGACTTCAAATATCAGTAATGTTACACTGGATTCCTTATAAACTCTTTCCCGATGTTCCCAGCAGCTGGCACTGGGAGTCCATCAGAATGGAGAAATGTATTAGCACATGCTCTTACCTCCACATTCGGTGCCTGTGCTTGGTTCAGGACTTGCTAAATGCTTTCCAGGAAAGCACTTATCTTATCAGGAATGGATACACCCGGGCTGATTCCACTGGGGCACCTGGATAGACTCCTAAGAGCCCAACCCCGCAGATGAATCTTCTGCATAACTTTTTGGTGTCAGAAAGTCCTGGCTAAATTACAAAATCAAAATCAAAACAAAGAAACCCAAAAGCCAAATTCTGTACCAAGTTACAACAGAGAACAGTCTGGTGTGTTACATCCTCTAGTGGACGAAAAGAGAAGTTCAAAATCTTGACTTATCAACTATTCTTTAGTTCAATTTCCATACCTTTTCTGATACAGGGCTTGCGGGTCCCATAGTGATTTTTTTTTGTTTTTTTGAGATGGATTCTCGCTGTCACCCAGGCTGGAGTGTACTGGCGTGATCTTGGCTCACTGCAACCTCCGCCTCCCGAAAGGCACAGATCAACAAAGGTGACCTCTTGGGGACTTAGGGACCTTCCTCGGGGTGATGATAATGAAAGCTCTTCTGAGTATCAACAGCTCTATCTACTTTCCACACTATAATAAGATGTTACTGCTTGGGGGAGGCAAGGATCTAATCCTTCCAATCAAACTCCCAAACCAAGACTGAACTGACTCGCCAAGGAACCATGCACATGGGCAGCGGCTGCTTGCCCAGACTCATATTCCAAGGACAGACAAGGCACCCCCAGCCCCTGTGGGGAAGCCGGCCTTCTGCACACAGGGGAGACACCACATGGAAAAATGAGTCAGTAACTGGGCATCAAAGTGGTTTATTCCAGGAATGTCAACTTATTTTTTTCCAGTACATATCACATCTTAACATATTACTTTGGGAAATTAATACATTTCTTCCTCTAAAGACAAACATGCAGAGGAGAAGGAAGGTAACTGTTTATCGTGGGGTATACACTCTTGTGAGTGGCCCAAATTATGCAAACAAAGAGGTTAAAAAAAAAAAAAACAACAGCCTACAGCCAAGCCTAACCTCAGCTCTCCTGGCCTGGAGCAGGAAGGCATCTTCCTGTGGCCAACAGCACCTGTTAAGACCCCACACCTTCCTCTACTGCAGCAGCCCAGGGAGTTTCACAGCTGAAAATGCTTTGAAAGTCTGAAGAAAAAAGGTAAATAACAACAACATAGCTTCCAAGTGTGCCCAGGCCCCAGCCCTCTCCGGAGTGCTCTACAGGATGTGCTCATTTAACCCTCCAAAGCACCAATCTGGGCCAGTGCAGTGGCTCACGCCTGTCATCCCAGCATTTTGGGAGGCCAAGAGCTTGAGACCAACTTGGACAACATAGTGAGACCCTGTCCTTTTAAAAAAAAAAAAAAAAAAAAAGCACCAAGCTGGTGGGAGGCATGGTCATCTTCACTGTCTCCATCTTACTGAAGGAGTAATGGAGGTACAAACAGGGAGTGACCTGCCCAAGGTCCAGCAGGCTGGTGGGGAGCTGGGATCTGAAACCCACGCGGACAACGTGGTGGCCTCTAGCCTCTAACTGCTGAGGAGGCACCTGCTGGGTTGTTTGAACCTACCTGCTGCTCCCAAAACTTCCCCATGGGGCCAGGCCTCCCTTTTGCCGCTGCAGTTCTTCTACATGATTAGTGAATGATCGCAAACCCGCCGCAGCTTAGCTCACAGTACTGAAATCACATTCTTGGCTTTGGGCAGACACTAGCTGGGCCACATCCTCCGGGAACACAGCTGGACAAGATGAGGGCTGGGTGAGAGATCATTAAGTCAAGAGGCTTGGTAAGTCAGTCCAGAAAAACGAACATCAGGAGGAAGACAGGCAGGGGTCCTGGGTCTGGCAGTGCTAGGCTGGAAGTCCAAGGAAGCCTTCCTGTTTTTTTTTTTTTGAGACAGAGTCTCACTCTGTCACCCAGGCTGGAGTGCAGTGGTGTGATCTTGGTTCACTGCAACCTCTGCCTCCCGGGTTCAAGGGATTCTCCTGAGTAGCTGGGACTACAGGCACATGCCACCATACCCAGCTAATTTTTTTGTATGTTTAGTAGAGACAGGATTTCACTATATTGGCCAGGATAGTCTTGATCTCCTGACCTCATGATCCACTTGCCTTGGCCTCCCACAGTGTTGAGATTACAGGCGTGAGCCACCGTGCCTGGCCCAAGAAGGCCTTTCTACACCACATCAAAAGCATGGCTCTGAACCTAACAAGACTGCATGAAATGGTCAGATGTTTGTACAAACAAGGCAGCTGAAAACACAGACTGGTGAAGGCACATGTGCATTTGTTTCCATAAATAGATGGCGAGTCCTTCCAATGCCAGCCAGCAGTGTCCCCAATCTCTGTGACAATAATGACCCCTCATATATTCGTACAACTAGCAGTGAGTGGTGGTGGCAGTCCTGCTCCCACCGAGAACCCTGGGTCGGGGTAGAGAGGGACTAAATTATAGCTCCAGGGTGGTGGCAGCCCAGAGGAAGAGTGCTGGCACTAAGCCCTCTAAGGGAAGGAACTGCGTTCTCTGAAGAGGGCAGGGCTGGAAGCACCCTTGGGGACATGGGACCCAGGCTTGCAGGTGGAGGAGGCAAGAGCCCCAGAACAGGACGGAACAGAGGCACCTTCCAGGCACTGAGATGCAGCACGTGCCCAGTTCTGAGGCTGGCAGTCACTCTGGCAAATTCTATCCAAAGTCAAGTGTTCTCAGTTCACAAACCCAGCATCATGTCTGTCTGTGTGTCTCTCAAGATGAGAATCTAGTTTTTATACCAAAGAGGAAATTATTTTTTTCATATTTTATTTGTATTGCATTTATATTATATAAATATATCTACATATACTTTTTTGGTTCCCTATCTATCTATACAATTTTTTGGTTCTCTCTCATTTTTGGGGGATGGAAGAAAGTACCAAGTTACACTGAGCTGTAATTAAGGAACACTATAATTTATGACACATTTCTTTTTTTGAGATGGAGTTTTACTCTGTCACCAAAGCTGGAGTGCAGTGGCGCAAACCCAGCTCACTGCAACCTCTACCTTCTGTGTTCAAGCGATTCTCCTGCCTCAGCCTCCTAAGTAGCTGGGATTACAGGTGTGTGCCACCATGCCTGGCCAAGTCACTCGTTTCAAAACAGGTGGAAACAGCACTGCCCGCTGTGAATATTAGAGGTTGAGGCTCCACAGACACACTGCCGGTGGGCACAGGAACCACAGAGAATGTGAAAAGTCACCCTGGTGGGTCTGACTCTGTTTACAATCATACAGAACAAGGTCTTAGCAGTCACCATTCAAAAAATATGTGGTTAAACCAAACAAACCTGGACGATCCTAGGCTGAAACAATTCCTTTCCAGGCACACAGACCCAGCAGAGCCAAAACCAGATTTTTACCCAGTACACATGCAACTCTTCCAGGAAACCGACCTGCAAAGAAAAGTGTACGCATTAGTTCTTATTCTGCTCTACCAAGACTGAATATTTAAAACTGTGAGCACCAGAAATCCTCTCTAAAATCCACCTTCCACCTACAACATGCCATGGGAGGTAGCTCAGGATTCTGCCCCGCAGGGACTGGGCCCCCCCCAACCCCTCATTCTTCCAAGTCTACAGGTACCACTGAGCCGAGGGCTGCTCACCTCCTACTCAAAGACATCACAGGGACCTCCTAACCCATCTTTCTCCAGGCTATCATCTCTAAACCACCATGTCACCTTCAGAAACCTGCTTGTTAAAAAAATCACTTGAACTTTGACATTCACAGCCCCTACCACCCGGCATCAATCTACATATTCCAATTTTACTCTTCCTCCCTTCCCTCCAGCCACATACTACCCAGTACAGCTCTCACCAGGGAGATCCCCACATCCTCCCAAGCACTTCCATGCTTCCTGCCTTTTGTCACGTTTCAGCAGCTGGAAACCACCTTCACTTCCCTGACAGGGTCCCATCCCCTGAAGGGTCCAGCAGAAAATGTTCCTTCCTGTTGTTCCACAGCGCTTACTGACATCGATAGATTCTAAGCCCCTAACACCAGGGATGGTACTTTTCTTTATATTCCCTCCAAGGCATAGGACTTGGTGTCCTGACCCTTGTAGGTACTTAATTGTGCTGATAATGTTACTTCTCAATCTGTGTGCTGACAAAAAACCTGCAAAGACAAAAGGAAGACGCTGCTTCATGAAGGAGCAGGCTGAACTCCAGCTGAGAAAATCAATATTACATTCCATAAACAGGCTGGGTGCAGTAGCTCAGGCCTGTAATCCCAGGACTTTGGGAGGCCAAGGCGGGCAGATCACCTGAAGTCAGGAGTTCGAGACCAGCCTGGCCAACATGGTGAAATCCCGTCTCTACTAAAAATACAAAAATTAGCTAGGCATGGTGGCGTGTGCCTATGATACCAGCCACTCGGGAGGCTGAGACAGGAAAATTGCTTGAACCTGGGAGGGGGAGGTTCAAGCTCCTGGCTCAGCCTCCTAAGTGGCTGGGATTACAGGAATGTGCTACTGCACTTAGCTAATTTTTCTATTTTTAGTAGAGAAGGGGTTTCACCATATTGGCCAGGCAGGTCTTGAACCCCTGATGTCTGGTGATCCGCCAGCCTTGGCCTCCCAAAGTGTTGGGATTACAGGCGTGAGCCACAGCACTCGGCCTGAATTATGCCCTCTTAAGTGTGATCATTCAACCTTGTCTCCCTAACTGGGCTGTAGCTGCCTGAGAACAACGGCCATGACTGTTTGCTTCATCTCTGTACCCCTAACATTAACATGATGTCAGGCCAATGTATCAACAAATGTTTATTGAGTGAAAGACATGACAGTATCATTGTTTATGAAGTTTTGAAAACCAAGTGATCTCTGATACTATCTACAACCATTCTCTTTAAATGTAGGTCCTGTTTGCAGTATCATACATGATCATCAAACTGCTGCTAGAATGCTCACACCTGTTACTGCAAATTCAAAACCCAGGAAAGACTTCTGGGAATTTACTTTAGGTCAGGGTTGGGCTGCCTGGTACAATGCTGCACCCACAAGTGGGCAGGTTCAACAACACAGGAGCCTTTCCCCAGACCGTGTGCCTTGAACACTTTGTCTCCATGCGTGACATACCTGGATCCCTGGCTGAGGTTGCTTCGAATGCTCTAATCAACGATGAGCAGGAAGAAAACAGTGGTTGCTACGGCCTCAGCCAACAAATCGGTGTATATTTCTCAGTTTCTGTTGAAACCTTGGAGAAAAAGTAAATAATGTGCTTTAACAGGACAACAGTTATTCGATGCTCACCACACTCCTAGAAACCCGGGCTAACCCTGCCAAGGGTCCCAGTGCTTTTCTGCTGGCTACGGGGCCTCCCTACAGCTCCTCACTCCAATTTCGGTGGCTGTGTGCGGGCCAAGTTCCCTTCTGTCTCCTCCCGTCCAAGCTCCAGTTGCGATGGGACGAGCCGTCCGTGAAGTTCCGGGAACAGACTGGGGGGGACTCTGGTCGCCCGGTCAGTGCCTCCAGTCCCTGTCAGAGCTCCGTTACAGTCCCGGGGCGGGCCCAACTCCGCAGGCTAGGGCCGGTGGCGGCGGAACTGTGGTCGGGGTGCCCTGCGTCATCCAGTGGTCCGCGAGTCGGCGACCACCAGGAGGCGAGAGTGGGTTTCCCCGCCAACAGGACAAAGCACGCGTCTCCAGTTGCTCCCCATTCCCCTGGGCGGAAGTAGCTCCGCCAACAACTTCCGGCCGGAAGTGAGAACTTACCATCGAGATAGCAGCTAGAGGGTCACCCTAAATTTGGATCTGGGTCATCCAAGGCGGATTTAAAGGGGTCGCAGCCCGCGCGAGGTGATTAATGGGAACTAAAAGCCGGGGACAGAGCGGAGGGCCCTGGAGCGAGGGAAGCAGAAGGAACATCCTATTTCTTGAAAGCATTATCCCTCTACTCCTTATGCAGTCCTCTGAATTAAGTGCAAAGAACACTCCTGTCTTGCAGATGAGAAAATGGGCTCTCTGGAGACGCTTGGTTACTTTCCCAAGCACAGCCGGCCAGGAAGTGGCAGAGCTGAGTTCACACCTGAGTCATTTCTGCTCCAAACCCAATGCCCTTTCCACCACCCCAGGTGGAAGGAAGGAGAAGCTTAAGAGGAGAGGGGCTACGTGAAGATGCAGGCCGACCTGGCCTATTGGGACACCCCTGGAAAGCCTATTCCTCCAAAAGACCTGGTGCATTCCAGACAGTGCAGTGTCCCTGTGGGCACAAGCAACGAATAGGAATCTTGCTCTGGGTCTAATCTCACAACCAAGGAAGAATTGCTGGACCTTCTGTCAGAGGCATTTGAATCAGAGCAACTCCATCTTGAATAGGGGCTATGTCAAAGAAGGCTGAGACCTGCTGGGCTGCATTCTTAGGTCACATAGGTCCTAACGACCTTGCCGATGGAACAGGCTGCAGTAAAGAAGCCGGCCAAAACCCACCGAAACCAAGATGGCTATGAGAGTGACCTCTGGTTGTCCTCACTGCTACACTCCCACCAGCGCCATGACCATTTACAAATGCCATGGCAACGTCAGGAAGCTCTCCTACAGGGTCTAAAAAGGGGAGGCATAAATAATCCACCCTTTGTTTAACATATCATCAAGGAATAACCATTTTTTTAAAAGGCGGGTACAGTGGCTCATGCCTGTAATCCCAGCACTTTGGGAGGACGAGGCAGGTGGATCACTTGAGGTCAGGAGTTCGAAACCAGCCTGTCCAATGTGGTGAAACCCGGTCTCTACTAAAAATACAAAATTAGCCAGGCGTGGTGGCCTGTGCCTGTAATCCCAGCTACTTGGGAGGCTGAGGCAGAAGAATTGCTTGAATCTGGAAGGCAGAGGTTGCAGTGAGCCAAGATTGTGCCACCGAGGCTGGGCCTCGTGGGTCACACCTGTAATCCTAACACTTTGGGAGGCCAAGGTGGTGGATCACCTGAGGTCAGGATTTTGAGACCAGCCTGACCAACATGGAGAAACCCCTTCTCTACTAAAAATACAAAATTAGCTGGGCATGGTGGCGGGCACCTGTAATCCCAGCTACTCAGGAAACTGAGGCAGGAGAATCCCTTGAACACAGGAGGCGGAGGTTGCGGTGAGCCGAGATTGTGCCATTGCACTCCAGCCTAGGCAACAAGAATGAAACTCCGTCTCAAAAAAAAAAAGATCACGCCATTGCACTCCAGCCTGGGCGACAGAGCGCGAGTCTGTCTCAAAAGAAGTTACTCGCCTGGGCCTGGCAGAAGTGGAAGTGGAGAATGAGGAATTATTGCTTACTGGTTACAGAGTTTCTGAGATGATGAAGGGTTGGAAATAGTGGTGATGGTTGCACAACATTGTGAATGTAGTTAATGCCACAGACTATACATTCAAACATAGTTAAAATGCTAAGTTTTACATTATATATATTTTCTCACAATAAATATTTTTTCTTTTTTTTTGGACAGGGTCTCACTCTGTCCTCCAGGCTGGAGTGCAGCAGTAGAATCGCAGCTTGCCGGAGCCTTGACCTCCTGGGCTTGAGGGATCCTCCCTCCTCAGCCTCCTGAGTAGCTGGGACTACAGGTGTGCACCACCACACCCAGCTAATTTTTTTAATTTTTATTTTTTGTAGCAATGGGGCCTCACTCTGTTGCCCAGGCTGGTCTCAAACTCATAATCTCATGTGAATTCTTCCACCTCAGCCTCCCAAAGTGCTGGGATTACAGGTGTGAACCACTGCATGTGGTCTTCATTCACCAACTTTTTGATATGAAGTGAAAACCTTTTATTTTCAGCATGAAACTCTCTTTGTCCGGATGCCTGAAAGACACCTGTAAAGTAACATGAGCGGAAATGTATCTGGATTTCTCTGACTACACCTCCTTCATGAGTTGTCTTACATTCAACAATAGATAACTTTAGCTTTATTAACTCCGAAATACTCAACTTTAAGTTTTGTTTTGATGCAGGAGCCGAAATTCTGTTTTGTTTTACCCTTTTTCATTAGTCTACATAAGAATGAAATAATTGTATAATTAGCTTAAGTGGAATAAATAGGTTTGTAAACAACACAAGTGGCTTTGGGCAGGCACTGGGCTCAACTGGTTTTTCTTTTTTTTTTTTTTTGAGCAGAAGCCAAGGTCCCCCAGGAAAGGAGCTTCCAGTTTGTGTGTGTGTGTGTGTGTGTGTTCCCCACCAGTACCACTTGGAGTGGGAGAGGGTCATTTCTCAAAGGAAGCAGGGGTGACGGTACAGAAGATTTGGGAAGGTGTCCTGGGCAGGTAAAAACTAGAGGCGTCTACTCCATGGCCCCACCTCTGCCCCCTGGTGGTGGCTCTTGGTGGCACTGCTGACCACCGGTGATGTCAGAACAAGCCAGCCAGCCTTGCACCTGGCAGGTCATCTCGGGGCTGCCTGTCTGACCTGCAGGATAAAGCCCACATGATTGCTTTCACTCTCTTTTTCCATTTCTGCTTCATTAGGAAAAACCAAAACTCAACAAATCACCTTTAGCTCTGCTGGCCCTGTTGATCTGACCTCTTTTTTCATTTGTCCCCACACAAACCCCTGCTCTGGCCATTCTGCCCAGCTCAGCTCCCAGACATGCCACCAATCTGCACTTCAGCCGAGCACACCTGCCCTTTGAAGCCAGCTCTGGTCACAGGTGATGGTTTCTTCTCAGAAGCTCTCTGGTGCCAATTCTTTGACGTGTCCTGTGTCCCCTGGGGTATTTGCTACACACCCTTCAATGAACACATCTGGTCTCTGTGGAGTGGGGCTGTTCTCTGTAAAGGCAAGGGTTTTTCAGCATCCTCAGCCTTATGGGGAAGACGAGGTCTGCAGTGGGAGCCTTTGCCCCCACCCCAAAGACAAGAGGAGATATTACCCCAGGAGAATCCCCCAGAGCTGGGTAGGGCTACAGGAAGCAGAGATGCACATCTCCTTCCTGGCCAGATGCTTGCTACGCCACCGACCCTGCTAGCAGGTCCTGGCCCTGCTGCCAGAGAGAATGTGGTGAGAGGCCAGGCGTGGTGGCTCACACCTGTAATCGCAGCACTTTGGGAGGCCAAGGCAGGTGGACCATTAGGTCAGGATTTCAAGACCATCCTGGCTAACACGGTGAAACCCCATCTCTACTAAAAATACAAAAAAAATACTACACACCTGTAGTCCCAGCTACTTGGAGGCTGAAGCAGAGAATTGCTTGAACCTAGGAAGTTGCAGTGAGCTGAGATCACGCCACTGCACTCTAGCCTGGGTGACAGAGCGAGACTCAATCTCAAAAAAAAAAAAAAAAAAAGAAAGAGGCTGACACAACCAAGCTTTTGTTTTTTTGGTTTTGTTTTCTAAGATGGAGTCTCACTGTTGTCCAGGCTAGAGTGAAGTGGTAGGATCTTGGCTCACTGCAACCTCTGCCTCTCAGGTTCAAAGGATTCTCCTGCTTCAGCCTCCTGAGTAGCAGGGATTAGAGATGTGTACCACCACGCCTGGCTAATTTTCTGTGCTTTTTGTAGAGATGGGGTTTTACCTTGCTGGCCAGGCTGTTCTCCAACTCCTGACTTTAGGTGGTCTGTCTGCCTTGGTCTCCCAAAGTGCTGGGATTACAGGTGTGAGCCACGGGCCTGGCTAGTTTCTTAAAAAGAACAATTTAATAGGGGCTTATGAACAGAAGACATGTCTGTGTCACAGAAGACAGTGGGACAAGATAATGGATCCCTGGGCCATTATCCCCAGACCCCGGGCTTATGTTCCATAGGGAAGGGGTTGTTCAGAAGGGATGTATGAGATAATTAGGGCTGGATTTACAGTAAGCAGCTGTCCTTAGACAAGGAACAATAGACCAGTTGGAAATCTTAGAGGCCTTGGAAGAACAGGGGCTAATCAGAAGCCAACATGGCAGTCATGTCCAAGATGGAGTTGCTTTGGCCTCTGTAGCAAGGAGTGCAGGAGGCCTCTAGAGGCTGGAGAGGGCAAGAACACCGATTCTCACCTGGAGTCCCCAGAAGGAAGCAGCGGAGCCGGCACCTTGGTTTCCACCTTGGAGTGCGATGGTGTGAGGTTGGCTCACTGCAGTTTTTGCCTCCCAGGTTCAAGCAGTTCTTCTGCCTCAGCCTCCCGAGTAGCTGGGATTACAGGCACATGCCACCATGTCCGGCTAATTTTTTTTTTTTTGTATTTTAATAGAGAAGGGGTTTTACCATGTTGCCCAGGCTGGTCTGGAACTCCCGACCTCATGCAATCTACCTTCTGCCTTGGCCTCTCAAAGTGCTAGGATTACAGGCATGAGCCTCTGCACCTAGCCTGTGCTCATGTTTTAAAGGCTCAGAAAGGTCATGTGAGTTGCCTGAGGCCACCCAGGAAACAAGAAACAGGGTCAAGATTTTAAGCTTCTAAATCCTTGATTGCCTGCTATGGTCTGCTGGAATCAATGACATCCTCAAAGTCATCCCAGTGACCATTTCTCCAAGTTAGCCATTTCTTTCTACCTGGAGCGCATTCCTCCCAACCTCTACCCCATGCCTTCTGGCCCAACAACTTACTCAGGGTGTGTGTGGGCGTGTGTGTGTGTGTGTGTGTGTGTGTGTTTTAAGATGGAGTCTTGCTATGTTGCCCAGTCTGGTCTCAAACTCCTGATCTCAGGTGATCCTCCTGCCTCAGCCTCCCAAGGTGCTGGGATTACAGGCTGCTCAGGGATTTGGCTGCCAGGATATCTGACCAATTCCAGTAACAGCCAGTCCTGTCCTCCCA